GTGGGGGGGCAACAGATGCATAATAAATGAGCGAAGCCCTCTGGCTATAGAGAGACGTAATTGCTCTCAGCGCCGTTAATGTTTCATGATTTTAATAGCCGCATTCAAACGGTTTGCAGAGATACTCGGCGAATGTGCTGATGTCACCCGGAGGATGACGAGGTGGGTGAAAAGGTGAGATGTGATGAAGGCTTTTTACTCGGAGAAGATGGTGCCCTACACCAGGTTACACAACACTCACGGAGGAGGAGGAGGAGGAGGAGGAGGAGCGGGGCCGCAGCTGTGTGATGGGCTGACACCAACAGAGTCTTTAAGATCCAGGCTGCCAACAGGGGAGGAGTGTTCCTGAAGTCAGAGGGCCGGGGGGGTTCATTCAGCGAGTTATCCAGGTGTGGAAACGACATTAACTTGGAGATTAACTCTGTGAACACCTGAACAGGCTGTTAGGACGGAGGAGAACAGATCAGAACATCAAACATAGACCGTATCTACAGTGAACGCCGTCTGTCTCCTCACTGGGTGAAGAATCCATGAGAACAGCACCCTCTGGTGACGGGCTGCAGTATAGGTCATAAATCCCACCCCCTCCAGCAAAACTTAGAAACTAATGACACAGAATATAAATGTTTCTCCCCCCTGGTTGTGATGTTGACATGTAGTTACTGTCAGACTGGTTTTTGCTCAAGTCCTCTTTTTTCTGTACAGCTCCATTTTTAAAAGTTATTAGGGGGTTCATGTTTTCGATGATTGACACCTGATACAGCCTATGGGAGGACAGAGATTGAGTAGCTCACCCGGGGGATACGCTGTTTGAGCCGAGGGTCATCACAGTGACTCTCCTGCTGATTGCGTAAGACACCACTGCGCAAGTGGAGAAAATTCCAGAAATACAGAGAGCAGTACGACCTCAAATCTGTATCTTGACGGGAGGCGGAGCCAAGTTGTCCAAAGTTTAAACCGTCTACAGTTTGTACTAGTGATGGGAAGAACCGTTCTTTTGACTACACTGAATCTTTAGAATCCGTTCATTAAAAGGATTCGTTAAAAAAGATTTGTTCACTGAATCAGTCAGTGCTCTGGAGTCCCCATCCTGTCGGAAACAACACAGCAGCGAGCAGCACGCCGCTAAACGAGCGTGAGTCGTCGTTCTTTTATTTCGCAGAAAAGTGGCGAGATTAAAAATAAATAAAGATGTCAGCTGTAGCGAGGATTCAGAAACTTTTAAAGATATCAAATATCATATTTCTTTAAATCAAGTGAAATCAAATCCTTCTTACAGGAAAGTTTAAACACGTGTTTTAATGTAAAGGCGCCATAATGACCTGTTTTATCTCAGCCTCAGTGAACGAACCGCTGCTCCGCAGTTCATGAACAACACTACAACTCTTCCTCCTCTGCCTGACTCAAGTCATTTGGAAGTCGTTCGTTTCGTTCACAGACTGACTGATAAATTTCGTTTATTCACTGTGAGAAAATCATGAGACTCCGCCCGCTCGCTCGCTCGCTGGCTGTGTGTCGTTAGCTAAAGAGTCAAAGGCGGCAGTTCCGCTCCCGACCGTCACATCAGGCTGAGTTCAACTGAAGTGAAAAAGGAACAAATCAGGTCTCAGAGTGATTCAGTTCACGTCGTTCACTCAGCAGTCCTTTTGAATGAATCGTTCATGAACGACACAAACACCAGTTTGAACCTGTTGAACAACCTGATCAGTATTATTTTAATGCAGATGATCAATAAGACTCTGATTTATAGGACTATGATTGGTGGTTTAGAAAGTGCTCCCTTGGCACCTGGACCAGGATGAGCTGAGGGGAGCGTGCGCCCTGAACCTCCATCCCCGCCGTAACACAACCCTCAGATAATTACCTGATCAGTCTCCAGGTTTGTGAGACCCTGAACCTCCTGAAGAGCAGCTTAAACTCAGACTATTAGACCTGATCGAACCTTCACTCCACCTTTTTCCTAACCTGCACCAAAATCACAGCGTCCTCCATGTTGGACCGCTCTGTCATGGATTTTAACTCGTCGGCGCCGTTGTTCAGAAACTCCCCCTCTGTGAATCTGACTTCTCTTCAAAGTACTCCCCGTCTTTCTTCTGCCCTCTTGGCTCTCCGCTCATCTGCTTCATGCCCCACTTGACTCTGATGATATGAGATTTCGGTCCCCATGGTAACCGGCGAGACTTGTGACCATCTTCACTTCCCTGTCTCTAATTCCTGCCCCTTTCATTTGCATAGAAATAACATTTTGGGATGAATGAGCGGTCCCCTCCAGTCCCAATCTGTGTGTGTCTGAGAGCTGGGAGCCTCTTATTTGTGTTCCTGCCCGCCCGTATCAGCGCGAACATTCACCTCGTGATGTGAATGATGAAGCTGACAGCGCAGAGGAGCTGATCTGATCTCTCCCAGCTCTGGGCCTCATTTTAATATCGCCTCTGGCCATGTATTTTTATTACGCTCATATTTCATCAAACAATCTCACCAACAAGCGGGTAATGACATAATTAACCTACAGGGGGGAGTGCCCTCGCCGCCAGGACGATGGATTTAATTGGTGAGGCTTCAAAGCGAGGCCGGCCAATCAGAGAGGTCGGAGGGAGGTGGGATGGAAGGCAGAGCGCCGCCGCCGCCGTGGCTGCAAACGGAAACCGTAGAGCAGCAGGCGGCAACAACGAGCGCAGAGTTAATGAGGTTTTAACGACATGAACTCGCAGGTCCAGGTAGTGCTGAGCTCTGTGATCCACATTCAGGTCTGTGATCAGCAGAAGGATCCACTTTAACTTCATCTTAATAACACTTTTTAAAAACACACACAAACATCATTATTCTTGAGTTATGGCAGCTTTCTGAGCGCCGCCGCCGTAATGAAGATGAATTCAGACACACAAAGACGCCGTTTTCTCTCCTCCGTAATAAAAGCTTATTATTCAAATCCACACAAGTTGCTGCAGTCGGAGTTTTCCCACCAACACTGCCACATTTTTCTCCCTCAGTGCTGTGCTAATGGACTAGCTGAGGGCTCCCCGCTCAGCTCTCTGTTTAGAATAAGATTACTTACACCAGCAGTAACTAATAACCTAAATGAGCTGTATTTTCTGCCAGAAGACTCTCTCCAACAAAGATCTTTCTTTGGTTTGTTTGTTTTTTTATGCTCCTTTGCAGCAGGAGGACGAGAAGCTCATGTGAGACACTGAAACAACTCCTGGAGAGATTTTACCGGAGCTGATTCAGGGTCAGCGGAGAGAGAGAACCGAGCAGAACCATCAGGCTAAAAAAAATAAAAATGTAGAAATCTAATGAGCAGGTGCAGGAGAAATCCTCTGATTAGATTCCTGCCTGAGAGAGGATGAACTTTTTAAACCTTAATGACCCCTCTTAGAAAATACTAGAACAAAGTTCAACGACTGTGTCACATTCAGGCTTTAAAGGTCCTGCAGGATGGTCTCAACACGTCCTACTTGTCTTTTAATCAAGGTTCTGGTAGACGAGTACGAATCAGGAGGCCCCCAGGCACAGGGTTTAAAGACCCACTCAGACGAAAATCCTGTTTTTCTTCAGAATCAAAAAACATTTATCGGCATTTATGCAAGAAAAGACATAATAAGACACACAAATGGACAGTTGGAGGGACAGGAACAGTGCAACAAAACATAAACATAACAAGTGAGGAGTATTATCAACCATTAAGTAATAAAGTGCAGAGGCAATGACCTGGGTGTGAGGGGCTAGCCATGATCTTATTGGCTCCTTTCAGAGCCCTGGTGTCATGCAGGGACTTAACGGAGGGCAAGGGGGCGCCGATCAGAATCACCTGCAGCAGCTTTGTCCTGTCCCTGGCCACTGAGGCGGGGAAACAAGTGAGGATGGACTTGATGATGGAGGTGTAAAACCGAGACAGTGTAGACTTCGGCAGCCCAAATTTCTTGAGCTGGCAGAGGAAGTACATCCTCACGTGGGGCCTTTTTCACCAGGGCTGAGATCTTACGCTCCCATTTTAAGTCCTGCGTGATATTTACGCCTAGGAAGAGGCAGGACTCCACGGTGGAAACTGGGGTTTCCCTCAGGACAGATCTACAGGACAGATCTGTGAGAAATAAGTGCAAAGTTACATTTCTGAGTATTTCTGTATTCAAATCTCTGTGAATCTCTGACAGACCCAAACAGCAGGTTCAGATACAGTGAGAGTTCTTACATCACAAATCCAAGCCCCGCCCCCAGAGAAGTAGAGAGGATGATCACGTAACAATCGTGTGTGTGTTAGCGGATAGCAACTAACTACGCAATTTTGGCTGAAAACTTCATAATCATAATTTAAAGACCACTGAGAACATGTTAAGTAGAAAAAAACGATCGGAGTGGGACTTTAAACAGGCAGAGAAACGAGGAGGAGGAGCTTCTGCTGAGTCAGTCTGCTGAGGAGTGAGTGAAGAGCTCTGATTTATAGACTGTATACACTGAGAAACTGAGGCTTTAAGAGTCATTTTTTTATGTACTAATTCTGTGAAGATCTGCAGCTGCAGGTTCAGTCTCAGTCTAATGCCTCATAAATACAGGTTGTGTCTCAGGAAGGAGGGCTTTGGGTCATTTTACATCTGCTGTGTTCATACATCTACTGATTCAGGTCTGGACATATCATCAGTGATGTTCCTGGAGTCATTGGGCATTTCGGGTCTTTCAACATCATATACCCTCTTCCAGGTGAACCAGCCGGGGGGCGATCAATCCCCACGCTTGTGTCCAGACAGCTAACCAGCTACCAAGACTCCATGGATCTCCTCTCTTGAGGCCCGTTCTGCTGCATTGGTGATATTACGGATGGTTCTCCTCTTCCTCTCTCCTTCGATTCCTAGGTGACTGACTAAGGAACGGCTGCAGAGTTTTCCTCCACAGAGAGTCACACCCCTTCAGCCACTCTCCATTGTTCAGGGATCTGACCCCTCCCCCAGAAGACTCGCAGGATTCTCCACAGACGCAGCAGGAGTTTGGGTTCTTATAAACTTTGTATGAAGTCTAATGACATGACAGCTGTACGACATCTAATGTTTGCTTCACGCATCAATCTTCTTCTCTGTTTTGGTGACATCCTTCATCCTTCAGGTGGCGCTCATTAATGACACAGAGAGAAAAGAGGTGTGGCCTGAGGCGGTCTCACTCCATCCCAGTTTGGAGCAGTCAAAGATTTCTCGACGTTTAGCTGCAGAAACAGTCGTTCAGCTCTACAACAGCTTCATCTTCATGAGTTTGTTCGTCTTCCTTCATGAGTTTTTCAAGCAGCTGATCCTCCCATTGACCCTCTTCTCCAGTAACCACTCCCCCACCCAGAGACCGTGCTGGCACGCCTTCAGAGCAGCGGCGGCAGATAGCGAGAAGGACCGGGGGCTCTGAAACCCCTCGGGGTCACGGCGGCCAAACTTAGCCTGAGCAGAGACAGAAGAGCGGGAGAAGTCGACTGACTGGCTGCCTAAAAACGTCTAATCTCATAAGAAGTCTGCTGCCTGCTGACTGGGGAGCGCCAGGACGCCAAATACAACTTTAAAAGGCTTTTTTTCTCCTTTATCGCAGACAGGCCATGCGCTACAGGCTAAAAGGAGAACGCTCCAGCAGACGGCCTGGCAGGAGACCCCAGTGGAATCATGGGAAGAAAAAGCATGTGTGCATTTGCACTGCGTGTTTCTTTCCTTTCAGCTCCTCTGTCAAATAAAACAACACTAAATATTTCATGATATGAATTTCCTCTGGAATAATGCAGCTTTTGTTTTCAACGTGCTTTTCCCCATCCTCGTTAATATTAAAGGGGCCACGGCAGAAATGTCTAAATGGATGGAGAGTCTGTGGAGGAGCAGGAAGGAGGAGCTGCAGAACATGAAGACCAACGGCGCCATCGCATCATTCGAGCGAAACTGTCAACGTGTTTGAGTTTGAACGAAAACGGATTCAACTAAAGGTGAAGGTCCAGAAAACCATCGCTGACCTGAAATCAGAGACTCCAGAGTCGCAGCCCACGGGTGTATTAAAGTCATGGTTGATGGTTGGACAGATTAGTAATTATCATGAACCTCGTTTCCATGGCGATCATGGTCCTATAGTGCGATCTCCACAAAGTGAAGAGAAAAAAGAACGGGAAAATCCGTTCACCCTATCAGCTGCAGGGCTGCAAAAATATTGACCAATGGGAGCCATCCGTCCTGGACAGCTCCTATTGGTCAACCGCCTCTCCATCCAATCACCTCGCTGTATTCAACACACCCCTCCAACTCGTCCCCTCCCACTCTCCCGGCCCTCCTCGGAGCTCTGAGCGGCTGAAAGAAGCGTAGCAGCTTCTGCTCGCCCAACCGCCGAAAGCGGGAAGAAAACGCCGACAGAAGAAAGGGCGGAGTCAAAGAGGACATGTGACCAAGTGAGGAATCTAACGTGAATAACCATCGGGTCATCCTTGGAGCGGTGGAGAAAACAGACGCTGAGACAGCAGAGTTTTAGTTGAACAGGTCATTTTTATCTCCTTTTATCGTGGCTCATGTTACATAAATAACTCTGATTAGTCTCTGACATGTCAACACGGTAGCTGTCCAGGCAGCTGCAGACGGCGCTCGCTAGCAGAGCTGGCGTTTACTGACACTAGTCACTAACAATCCGACATGGTGAATCCTATTTGAAGCTAGCGTAGGATCTTCTGCCAGAGGGGGTGTGTCGTGAGGAGGGCGATACAGAATCAGGGGGCGGAGTTATCACCTCAACGGCTCAGTTTTTTTCCAACTGCTCCTCAGATCCTCAACCAGAACTTTAACAGTCGCACCACATCCCTCAGACCTGAACACCAGAACCTGGACCATCATTCAGTCCACGTTCATTAGATCTACTCTGGGATAAATGTTTAAACAGATGAATGTTTAAAGAGCTGATGGCGTCTGAAATCCATCCAGGACATCATACTTAGCGTGTTGATCTTCCATCAGAGCGAGAGTTCATTCAGGTAGAGACGGGCTGACTGATCAGGGGTCAGGGTCTCGTCTGTCGTCCTGAACGAGTCTCTCTCTCCTCCCTTTAAAAACACGGATGCACAGAGTCGTTCCTCCACCTTCGTTTCCTCGCTCCGCTCTCGTCTTCGATGCTCTCCTCTTTCAAACCAGTAAAACGAGACATGAATTTAACACCGTCTCCGTTTGTCACAGCCGAACCCCCTCACGGCTTTCAAATGCAGAGAATTTCCCGCGGCCATGTTGGTAGAACAATCAACATCTGTGTGCTCTGTCTCTCCTCTGCACTTTTACAGACTAACAGCAGCATTAACATCAAACACCTCGCTGTTGATCCATCTCAGAGGCTCCTGCACTTGAAAGCATCTCTTAAACATCCATTTTTCATCAGCCGCCTTTGAAAAAGTTCTGGAGATGGTCGGGTTGTGTTGTCTATGATCAGCCTCTCTGCCCGGGGTCACTCTGGGCTTTCTTTGTTTGTTTTGTTCTCTCTCTCTGTTCATTCAGGAGTTTCTCCTCCGCTCTGCGGTGAGCCGACGCCACGGGGAGGACAGAGCTTCACCTCAGACAGGTGGGCTGAAGTTGAAGAACAGATCTCCCTCCAGCCAAAACAAGCCTCGGACCAACGCGAGCTTTCATCTCTGCAAAACGCCTCCTGAAATATTTAAGGTGCTTTGTGTGCGCTGCTCCACGTGAATAAGTCATGGCTTTGTTAATCTGAAGGCGAGAGTGTGAGGAGAGGAAACAAACAAACGAGGCTTCGTAACAATCAGATCACACAGATGTTTCATGAATGTGATCGTCTACTAATGCCTGGGCCAATAAAGATACCTGCAAAATGCATCCAAACTAGAGCTGGGACTCGATTAAAGAAATTAATCTAATTAATCAGACACTTTGTAATTAATGAATCACAATTAATCGCATATAAATATTTGACCTGAGGACAGAGAAGGTGATACTTCAGGTCGCCGATAAAGGTTGGGTGTGGGTCGCTTTACTCTAAATGTTAGCCTTCACGCTAGCTGCAACATGTTTAGCATTCAGGTGATACCGGAGTCTTGTTGTGCTGCAGTGATATAAAAATTCTTTTTTTCATCGTTTACACAAGACTATTTTTTTTATCAAGACTTCCATCTTTTTTTTTTAAACAAAAATGCTCAACCACACAGGAGCCAATCAAAACACATTTATACGCAACTTCGTTCATTTTTCTGAGCACTGGGTAGGAGATAAACTGTGAGTTTTAAGAAGGTAATGTAAACTTAATTATTAAATGTAAGTGAGGAGGATCTTCGATTCGGCCTCTCCAGCTGCTCTAAACCTTTGTTATCTGAAGTCAGTCCACCGTATTGACTTCTGTTCACATTACACAGGAGAAATAAAGCTGTTATTGTTGTGAAGCGTAAAGCCGCGGCTAACTTTGCATCGATCCTCACCTCGTCTCTCAGATCCTGCATCAGCGTCCTCTAAGGGGAGATCATGAGTCCTGTGTTTGAGGACTGTTTCCTTGTTTGCAGTCTGTATGGACGGAGAGTTAAGACAAACACAAAGTTCATATGATGTCTGCTGGAATATTAGATTTCTCTGAGCTCCAAACTTATGACTTCCTCTTTATCCTCTCTTATACTTTTGCTTCAAACTGAGTGAAACATGAAAAAAACAAACAAACATGCATCTCTTCAGTTTTGGAGGAAAAGTGTTTGATATTCAGCAGCATTTGTCAAAGACTCCACTTAACCGGTTTTAATTTGGTGGCAGATTATTAATTTCCTCTTTTATTTTGGTAACAGATTATTCTTTTAAACTTTTATTTTGATAACAGACTCTTCTTTTCTATCTTTTATTTTGGTGACAAACGATAAATTTCAAACACATCTTTAACTTCTTTTCTTGACAAACTCTTCTTTTACCCTCTTATTTTGGTAACAGACTATTCTTTTCCTCTTATATTTTGGTGACAAACTCTTCTTTGCCTTTTATTTTGATGGCAGACTATTAATTTCCTCTTTTATTTTGGTAACAGACCTTCTTTTCCTCTTTTATTTTGGTAACAAACCCTTTTTTTCCTGTTTGATTTTTAGAAACAGACTCTACTTTTCCTCTTTTATTTTGGTAACAGTCTTTTCTTATCCTGTCTATTTTGTGGCAGACGATTTATCTCCTCTTTTATTTTGGTAACTGATTTTTCTCTTCTGTCTTTTACTTCTGTAACAAACACTTCTTTTAAACTCTTTTATTTTGGTAACAAACACTTCTTTTCCTCTTTTATTTTGGTAACAGACTCATCTCATCCTCTTTTATTTTGGTAACAGACTCTTCTTTTAAACTTTTATTTTGATAACAGACTCTTCTTTTCTATCTTTTATTTTGGTGATGAACGATAAATTTCAAACACATCTTTAACTTCTTTTCTTGACAAACTCTTCTTTTACTCTCTTATTTTGGGAACAGATTATTCTTTTCCTGTTTTATTTTGGTGGCAGACTCTCCTTTTCTGTCTTTTATTTTGGAATCAGACTCTTATCCTGTTTTATTTTGGAAACAGACTATTCTTTTCCTTTTATTTTGGTGACAAACTCTTCTTTTCCTTTTATTTTGGTGGCAGACTATTAATTTCCTCTTTTATTTTGGTAACAGACCCTCTTTTCCTCTTTTATTTTGGTAACAAACCCTTTTTTTCCTGTTAGATTTTTAGAAACAGACTCTACTTTTCCTCTTTTATTTTGGTAACAGTCTTTTCTTATCCTGTTTATTTTGTGGCAGACTATTTATCTCCTCTTTTATTTTGGTAACCGATTTTTCTCTTCTGTCTTTTACTTCTGTAACAAACACTTCTTTTAAACTCTTTTATTTTGGTAACAAACACTTCTTTTCCTCTTTTATTTTGGTAACAGACTCTTCTTTTAAACTCTTATTTTGTGGACAGACTCGTCTCTAAATGAACGTTTTAACATCTATAAAGGAGCAGATCCTCTTCACGGAGGCCACCATCCTTCACCTTCATGTTTTATCGCAGAGTTTTCTCAGACTTACGTTTAGTTGTAGCCCTCAGAATCTCTCTGAAACTTCACGTTTTGGTAAATAATTCAAGTCGACTGTTTCACTTTAATCATGAAATATAATCCTTTAAAGCAAACACTGCAGGAAACTCTAAAAACAGACATTGAAACGTTCTTTAACCACGTCAGGAAAAGGTGAGGCTGAAGGGTGAAACAGACGATAACGATAGTTTAGGGAAAGTTTCTCAAACTGAAGTTGGAAGGAGAAGAAGTCTGAATGGAAACTCTAAGGCGCTTTAACCCATTTAAACCCGGAGAAGCGTGAACGTATTTCAACCTTCCACGCCGGCGGCGCTGGTGCACGTTTCTACCCTTTAGGCCAGGAGCGCAGACACGTCATTTTACAACATTCTGTAGTTTTTCAATCATTTCTGAAGTCGTGGCGAATCAAATCATCATACCCGTCTGCCTCTGATCGGCTAATAAAGCGATCAGATTCATGCTGTGAAGGTAGAGATACTGACAGAAATGATGACGACCTTGATTTTGGACCTTCTGGGCCTTAAGATCAGGATTTGAGGATGAGAGGAGGAAGAGGAAGAGAGCTGGTGGACCTCCAGTCTATGTGAACAACCTCTTCATATCGAGGTCTTTGTCTCAAACTATCAGTGTTTTCTGTGAGTGTTGCAGGACTTTAGGTGAGCACAGAGATGAACAGTCAGACACTTATTTATTTCTTAGTTTTTAATTCTGCTTTTGTCCTGTCACTACACTAGAGCAGCTGTTTTCCCTTTAACACTTTATTTTTTATATTTTCATTTGTATTAAACTTTATCATGACTGCTTCTTGTTTTATAGAAATCAAACAGTTTGTTCTTCTCCAGTGCAGAGTTTTTACTTTTATTTATACAGCTGCTTTATTTCATTTGAGTTTGTTCAAGGTTTTCAGTAAACTGGTGAAGGTCGGGGTAAAGGGTTCGCTCTCCAGTACTTTTAGAATTTTGTTTCTATCTGCTAAAGAGGCTGAGACATCAGCTTTTTTATAATCCTCAGCACTCAGAAAACCTCAGGATCTGAGGTTCTTCTCAAAGCTGCCCTCAGGACTTCAGAGGCGGGTCTCAGACAGGGTTCAGGTCTTCATGGTATAAAAAGAGAGACATTTCTACTGGTTTAGATTCGCTGACAGGAAACCCCAAAACTAAACAGACTTCCTCCTAAAAATCGCTGTCATGCTCAAACGTCTCCTAAGATCTTCTTTTAGACGCTCCCTTCAAACCCAGTCCCGGGTTCGGATCTGTGCCGTTTCTTCACTCTGTTATTTTTTTAGGGTCTCCTCTGAACCCGCTGACGTGGTCTCGGCTGACGGTCCTCCTGTCTCTGCTGCCTGGACTAATCTGACACTATAACAGAGACACACGGAGGAGCTCCCGCTGACTGACAGGGGGCGGCTGGGGTCGCAGGTACGAGTCCACCTGGACGCCTCTTATGTCGGTCACCTGTCAATCAAAGTGATGTCATGTTGCACTCAGGGCGGCTCGGGTCGCACCGACTGTTGATACTGAAACGCTTTCCAGGAGCGGCGCTCTTCATTTAAAAGGTTGAAACAGATTTAACCTCTGCCGCTCTAAACCCCGAGCGCTCAAAATATGCGCGGCGGCGGGGAGCTGCGAGTGGTTTCTTTAGAAACGATATTAAAGAGAAGTCAGAGCTTTTCCCTGCAGACGCCCGACCCAGAGCAGCGCTGCAGCCACAGAGTCACGACTGTCACGGTATCAAAGGAAACCTTTATCTCACCCTGAACCGAAAAAGCTCACAGCCGCCGCCGCCAACGCCGCTTTATTCTCATCCCACTACAATAAATGTTGAAGAATCAAACCGCTGAGATGTCAGTAAGTAAGCGCACAATACTCTCCAAATACGCTGTGATTCGTGGAAACACAGGCGCCGCCGTGTTTGATCCCGTCATGGTCAGTTATGGTCACAACACAAAGGACGGAGTTTTGTAAAGTCTGAGACAAACAGCGAGAGGACGAGTGAGGACGAGCAGAAACAACAACGACAGCAGCGGAGAGAGGCCGGCGCACACAGGGACTCAGATACCAGAACCTCCGTGAACCACATGTGGAAATGACACACGAGGACAGTGGTGATTCAGCATGTTTCAGTTTGTCTAAAATATGGAGAGTTTGGACAAACCAGGGCGGAGAGGGTGGAGGTAGAGCGGACAGTCTAACCTATCAGAGAGGAACTCAAATCCTCGTTCTCACATCTCTCTCTCCATCTTATCCTGTTTACTCTTTCTTCTTTTCTCTCTTCGCTCAAGAAAATAGTAGAGCAGAGGTTTTCAGTCCCACTTGGTAACTCCACTGATGTGTCTCTTAACTCCAAATTCTACAACGTGCGCAACTGCGGCAATTTTCACCATCTGCTAATTCTTACCGGATGCGTTTGTGAGGCGAATTTCGTGGCGAATCTTGGACAGTGGAAATCACTCACAGGAACCCAAAAACGATCATTGTCTCTCTAAAGACAGACACATAGACATATAAGCAGTAGATTGTGTCCTTCCAGAGGAGGAAATCTAGACCAGGAGATCAGACACGTTTGTGGAGATTGGGAATCGACCATGGCAAAGTGCAATATTTACCTTTATCTATGAAACTAACTAAGTTTACATGGTGTGAAATACGATCCAACTACAACACATCATGTTTTTCCTTTTCCATGTCTTCCTTTCCGTGCTGAGTTTACGCGGCTACAAAGCCTGATGAACCATACAGGTCTGGGAGGAAGCCAATGGAATTTGAGACATTAACTTGATTTGTGCCGATCAGCGCCGACGGCCTTTTCACCGCCGTTCTGTATGTGGTGGAGATTTGGGGGTTACACGCATGATCGTCCAAACGGTCGTATTTTTGCATCGTCATGGTTGTCTGACAGAGAGAGATAGTTATATAGATTCTTTATTAATAATCCATGAGGGAAATTCAAAAACCAGAATCAATGAGACACAGAACACATTCTACAAATACAAATACTGAGACAATACTTACAACAAATAACGAATAAATAAAAACAGTCTATAAATATGACCACAAGGCAGAAGTGCAGAGTTATGAAGGCAGAATAAACAGTGCAAATTGAGGCAGTCATGCAAAAAATGCACTGACTTTGTTTCTGTTTCTGACGGTGCAGTAAGAGAGGAGTTGACTGAGTTCTTATCCTTTCATTAAAACACATCCATCATGTTATCAAAAATAAGGTCAACGCTTCTGGACTGATATTAGGAGGAGATACATTCAGGTTGTTTAATGTGTGAATTCTTGTATATAAAGCAGAATAATCAATAAACTGCTGATTTATGTGAACATGATTCTCCTGTGAGAAAGAGAAATCAGAGTTTCAGAGAAGTGAAACTGTAAATTCAGATTTATTTACATCTCTTACTTTATGATCTGTTATCTTTATAATAAACCTCAGAATCCACCATTTTATTAAAACAACACATAATTTTAATTATTCAGCGTATAGATTTGTGACAGGTCTCTAAACTTGTAATTAAGGGGTTATTTTCTTTGAGGATTGACGTCTGAGTTCTGCAGAATCTAAAGTAATGAGTCTGTGATTGAGGTGGAGAAACTCCAGGAGAGCTGTGGAGTGAAACACGACAGGAACACACGATAAATCCACTTCGGTGTGACTTCAGTTTCCTCTCGGCGCTGACACACGGCTGCTTCACTTCATCTCAGACTCAATTATGTTGTTTTTTATGTTACACCAGACAGGAATGAGAGTTATTTTCTGTTCATTCTCTCAGGTAATTCCCCCATAATCCTTTGTGTTTGCATCCTCCTGGGTCAAGGAGCTCCGTGTTGGCATCATGTATGATTGCATCTCCATCAGGGTCACCTTGCACTTGAAAAGAAAGCGTCTCTGATGCTCCTTCCTCGGTCTCCCACCGTCCTCCTCTTTGTTTTCCTCCGAAGGATGTTGGAGAAGCTGATGAGAATAATCTACATGCCGGAGAGAGAGAAAGAGAGGAGAGGAAAGACGGAGCGTCAAAACTTTAAGACGGGAGCTGATGATGCAAGGCCGAGGCAAGATGCCTAATACCCCCGGCTAACGATCCAGCAACTGGAATGCAAACCCTCTGTGGATTCAGGTGGGGAGATTTGGTGGAGGAGGGGGGATTTTTTTTCATGTTTTTGAGCGGGGAGGGGGTCCTGAAGGTGTCACTCTGCTGCTTCGAGGCCTTTGACGTTGTTGTCACTTACTCTCCCTGCAGAAATCTCTCGGCGGCAGTCAGCCATGATCAAGGCGGGAGGCTGAGGATGCAGACACGGAGCCTCAACTCTGCAAATAACTAATCTTTCACTTTTCGCTGCAAAATATTGCCGAGCTCAACAACTTATCCCGACGTTTTCAATCATAATACCCTAATCCACTTAAGTTTGCCCAGAACTCAAGTTCAGTCTGTCTTTTTGTGCAAGCTTGCAGAGTCATTTGGCTTTCAGGAGTCTTCTCTTAAAGCTTCATCACGCTGAAGGCCCGGTGTTTGAGAGGAGAAGAGTATCCTCGCTGAAAGATTCGACTTTCCTGAAGCAGAAGAAGAAAAATATGATGAAGGTCTTTTTCAGTTTCTCCAGATTCGTCACATATTTACTGTTTCACCATCAAAAAAAGCAAAAAAAAAAACATCCAAGACAATCTGGCTGCAGACCTCCACTGAGCGGGCTGGAAGTTGTTTAAAGCCTTTCAAAATAAAAGCCAATATACCAGAAGTATGTGTCTTTTAGGTTGATTCAATTCCTTTTAAATTAAAAGCAATTTTACATGGGGAAGTATGTATTTTTTGTCTCGTGTGAATAAATTTTATTTCTTATTCAACAGAGAATGTTTTTTTCTCTTTAAGTATTATGACTTATTTATGAGTGTTATAAAAAAGAAGAAAAAAATTCTGGCTGAAATAAACAAGTATATTTCATATGCTTTATATGACATGAACATGTATGTAATGAATGAGCCTGCAATAAAGTGTTTAAAAAAGAGAAAATAAAAAACAGGATGACCTTCAAACAAACTGGAGGTCGTGAGACAAAATGTCACAGAAAAACGTACTTTGTCCAAACCTTTCCCTCAACAAGCTCTCCTGTTATCGCACCAATGTAAGTCCATAACGAACATGAAAGAATCACTGTTTACGTGTCTCTCTATAGTGACGCTAAGAGTTCCTTCCTGCCAAAATGGCGGCGGCAAATGTTGACGCCCCTCTTTCAGATTTTGGTACGCCTTATTGGTTCAAAACAACAACATGAAGCTTTAAACACCCTGTGATTTCTTGGACCCTCAGCAGCTGTTGCATAGAAATAAGAGAAATCAATGCAAAAGTAATACACTGTAAATAAGTCCAGGTCGTGTAAACAAACATGCGTCTCTTACTGTTTTCATCGGTGCAAAATGGAAACTTTATTTTTAACTGGAAGTGGATTTTATAGTGAAGATGCTCTCTTACTCACCCCTGAATTAACAAAGTTATCAAAGAGAAGAAACAAAGATGATGATAAAGGTCATTTATTCATATTAAATTTACATTTTAATCCAGGTTTCTTCACACTGTTCCTTTAAGAACTTTAATTTAATCCTGTTTAGATTAAAAACAAACTTTTTGGATCACTCTGGAGTAACAAAGACAAGTCCAGATCCAAAACTTGGTCAATTTCAGCTCTAACTTGATCTCTGGTCTGAGTATTTTTTTTAACTCTGGACTTTCAGAAAAATCAACATGTTCCTCCGTCAGCTGACGACTCAGAGTACGACAGATCTGAGTTAAATATCTGACCAGTGGACGTACTCTTGAACTTTAGGTCGGACCCTAAACCGGTCCAGAGTCTCTTTTCTTCACAGTCGTCTGAAAAAATGAAGAAGAGAAGATCTCATCCTCCTCTTCTTCATCCCTGAACACAATGAACACGTAAAAACACGGGTGAGCTCCTCCGTTTTATCTCCTGACACTTCAAAGAGAATCCATGCAAAATTTAACACGCCTGCTTTACCACCAGGGCGGCTCACGGATCCGTCCTCGCCGCATCAGAGTGAAGGCGCCTCGCTGGGGAGAGGTGGGCGGTGGGTGGAGGGTGGAGGTGAGACGGGGGTGACAGGTTTGGCTCTGTTGTGCAGTCAGACGCAGCAATGGAAGCTTCTTCTTCTTCTTCTTCTGTTTAATCTTCAGCCACATGAGGACGACAGGAAGTAGGAGGTAGTCAGGGCGTTCACCTCAACGCCGCACAGAAGATCACATCAGCTGATCATCCACAAACACCTGATCTCCGTTATCATCTGTTACAGAGTGACCTGCAGCTTCTCTACCAACACAATCACTTCATCTACAAATACAGAAGATCTTCAGGAGTCGATTTACGGGCGAAAACCCCAGATCCATCCTGCCGTAAGGTGATCAGATACAGAGCTAATAATTATGCAAAGATTGATTATTACAAACGGACGCGTTCATGCAAAAACATCCCTGACATCGTGCAAGAAGGAACATCACACTGCTTAGAGACGGTCTTCTAATCTCGAACTCAGCTGCATCTCGGTTAGTCTTCCTTCACCGAGAGCTCACAAAGATCTGGTCTGGTACAGGGGTCAGATCTGAGACCAGGTGTACCTGAAGTCTCTTTGTTGGTCTGGTTTTAGAGCTCTCTCTATCTGAGTGAGAGCGCTGTGACCTCTGAGGGCGCCGCACCGCCGTCTAATCTCACATCACAGCCGCCTGAATGACAGCAGAGCTAATGGAGTCTGCAGGAGGAGGAGGAGTCTGCAGAGGGCTGAAGGTGGAGCAGACCGGGTGGAGAGGCTGCTGTCATGTTCCAGACCTGACCTGACCTGGTAGACGTTTTGAAGGAAAGGACGAAGGATCCTGTTTGAGACCACGGCCCACCTGGAGGTCCTGAGGCGATAAAAAGACAAAACTCCACGACTCCAGAAGGTCACTGATCATTTCTGTGATTTAAGGTTCAATATCTTTTTAAAAAATGGGAGAAAAATCCAAAATCTAAATTTGGAGTCTCGCGATAACAAGATATCTCTATAAAGACAGACACATAGACATATAAGCAGTAGATTGTGTCCTTCCAGAGGAGGAAATCTACTTCTAGACTTCTAGAATCAGCATCTCCTCATCCATGGTGTCATCGGGGTGAAATGACGTCTAAAAACCTTTCACTTGTTCGTCTCCGCCCGTTTGCATGGTGTGAAATACGATCCTCCTGAAACACGGAGTGTTTTATTTTGAAAAGAAGCCGGATGTTTTATTTTGTGTCTGTGCCTGACTTCCTTTCCAGCACGGGTTAATCTGTGCTGAATTTATCCGCCATGCTCCGGCGTCCAGAAAAAATAGAACTCTTGTGATCAGCTGAGGAGTCCGGCGATCCGCAGAGGAACGGAAAGAAGTCGGTGTAAATTGACACGTTAACTTGAATGGTTACGATCAGCTACGATCGGAGGATACGACCTTTTAGGAGACGATCAGGATGAAGGTGGAGATTGGAGGTATGACTCTTTTGGAAAGGACAGTTGGACTTACTTGAGATGTTTTGCCTCAGGCGAAACGTCTCAAGTAAGTCCAACTGTCCTTTCAACAAGGAGTTGGAAATCATAGATGCTGCATCCTCAGTTTTAGACAATATTTCAAGGTTTAGGAGCAACATCTGAGTCCATCTAGCTGTGGAGTCCGGCGATCGGCAGAGGAACGGAAAGAAGTCGGTGTAAATTGACACGTTAACTTGAATGGTTACGATCAGCTACGATCGGAGGATACGACCTTTTCATAGCCGTTCAGGATGTGGTGGAAATTGAGGGTAAAGGATCACCGGTTCGGGTCCTGGTTCAGACCGAAGTACTGAAGTTGGGCAGGTTGTTGAAGAGGTTCACTGTCTGTGTGCAGACCCCTCCCTGTTACTGCAGGTGATCCTGTTTATGTATCTCTGACCTCTGAGTGTCTTTCAGTCCGAAGAACCTGCAGAGACTGAGTTCATGATTCACAAACTCTGACTTCTACTGCAGACACTTCCCTCACACCTGTCCAGGGAGTTCCTGGCTGATGCCTCCTGCACAGGTAGATCTGACCCTGCAGGTTCAGGTGTTCCTGAAAACCATGAGAAGACCCCCTGAGTCTGACACCCACATGAATATAGAGCAGCGTTGAACATCAGACGGTTGTTTCCCCTCGTTCAGGCTGCCGGGTTTCACTCCTCTGCTTGTTTACTTTACTACCTTGTTGCAAGTTTTTGAGCAGCACTCGGAGCGATGGCTTGTCAATTATGCATATTGCATATTAATACTTCATTTTATTTGATTTGCCTTTCCTTTGCTGTTAATCCATGCACAAACAAGCCGTGGATGCTCCGGAGCGGAAGAAGAGTTCTGGTCCCGGCGTCTATAGGAGACTGAAATCGCCCTGAAACCTCGAAATCGGAGTAATTAACTCCTTCCTTCACGCTCGACAGAGAGGCGGTTTTATTTTAATGATTTGATTCACTGATCCTTTAAATTTAGACCCTGCAGGAAGAGATGCAAATAAAACTCCATCTTCATTTATTGTCTTTTTGGATTTTTATGCTGCATATTGAATCAGGCAATAAAAGCCACATGAATTCATGAATCAGAGACTGAAGCTCGGAGCTCGGGGCTGATCTGAAGATTTCGACAGCAACACGACTCCCAATCACCTGATACACCGTTTCAACACGTGTGTGTGTGTGTGTGTAGATACTGATCTGAAGGTGTAAAACTCAAAGTCTGATCTTAAACGGATTAGTCGAACCGAGACGAGGGGAAAGACACAACCTCTGCGTGTTTGCGTGTTGGTAGGAGGAAGATTACACCTGCGCTGATCTGCTGATCGATATCCAGGCGAAGCCGCTGATAAGACATCAAACGAAGAGTTTTTTTCTTCTTCTTCTTCCTCCTCTTCCTCTCCGACGACCCTCAGATACAGACAGATATGAGTTCAGTTGAAGCAGAGGACTCCATGAAGTCAGTCACAAAGATAGTATGCAGGAGGTGATTCGTCTAGAGGGGGCGCTATCACTGACTGAAATCAAAAGTACTTTTTATCTCTCTTGGTTTGATTCTCTTTGTTTGGATTATCGACGTCCTTTAATCTGCAGAAAAACATTAATTCAGTTTTGAGAGTTTGTGAAACAAGTTTAAAGATCGTAGGTTATCGATTCTGCTAAGCGGTACAAAATTGTGTCATCTGCATAAAACCGTTTTTAACACTTTGTTTAAAGGAGAATCGATAATATTAGGATAAATGTAGTGGGCCTAAAACGGACCCTTGTGGTACACCCTCGGTTATTACTAAAAAGAAAAAACAGATTATTCTGATGACAACTTGAAGGTTAATCTGGTTTTACTCATTTCTATGTCTTCATCCTCTTCATCCTCCTCTTCTCTTTACTTGTCGGGTCTTTTCCTGTAACTTTTAGTTTTATATTAAACATCCATCATTAAAATCTCTGCGTTTGTTTGGTTAAAAATGTGCAGTTTCATTATTTATTTTTGTCACGTGACAGTTTTAACAAAAGGAAAAGGACCCAAAGACAGACTTCACTGAAAAAAAAAAGGTTTAATAAAAAATAAAGGAACGACAAAAACTCAAAATCCAAAAAATTCCTGAATCAGGAAAAACTCTGAAAATAGACAGGAAAAGGCGGCTTGGACCACGAACCAACAAGGACGGAGGGGAAGACAGAGAAACCAGCAACAGGTGAGACAAAGGAGGGAAATCTAGACCAGATACAGAGGGGCTGACTCCTTCAAAATAAAACAGGAAACACTAAAAACTGAACAAATTAAACGAACTGTGAAAAACAAGAACAGGAACAGAAAAAATACGACTAAATTACAAAACCTGGAAAAACTTGACTAACAAGAACTCGTCTCAAAAATTGAGCTAATTTTATTAAACGTTGAGAAATAATAAACAGATTCAGCTTCTTCCCAAAATGTTTTCTTTCTTTTCTAACTTCTCTGCTGTTTTCACTTGTTTGCATCGTTTCCTCTCTCTTCCTTTCACTTCTCTTTGTCGTTGTTGTTCCTGAAACGTCTTTAAATATTTATTTACCATGTTGTTTTTTTTCTGTCTTCTCTGTATTTTCTCTCTTTTTATTTCTCTTTCTTTCTCCTCTGGGATTATATTTGATTTATTGACTTCTTTAGAAACAAACTCGGGTGGTTTACCTCTTTGTTCATTTTTACTTAAAGAAAATTCATCAGAATCTAAATGATTTCCTTCTTTGTTATTCAGTCTTTCTGCAGAGAGGATGAATCTGTGTGTGTGTGTGTGTGTGTGTGTGTGTGCAGCACTATCCCACTTTACCTCCTCTAATTGCAATTACCGAGGGTGGCCTGAGCTATTATCATTTTGACAGTTTACAGAAGTTTCTTTATTAAAGAGCTGGAGGAGTTGAAGTGGGTTAGGTGTCTTGAGCTTTGGCGTTGGCGCTCTTCACAGACTCTGTCTTCCTGCTCCTTAATTGCTTGCACCTCGGCAGGTCGGAGGCGAGGCGCCCGTGTCTCTCACCGCCACTGTCCCACTGAGGACTAATCTGGCACCAGTTTAATGAAGCTCAGAAAACAAACCGAGGAAAATGAGCTCCTGTTAGCAGAGGAGTAAAGACGAGCAGTCAGGTCTGAATCTAGAGCTGATTATCTTTAAAGTGTAAATATATAATCACCTTCAAAATAACGATCTGTCTGAACAGTAAAGAGGACAGTTAGAGTCGCCTTCAGTCGTCATCTTTAGGAGTGAATGGACAGAGTTTGCATATTAGGAGTTAAAGGTGGTGTAGTCAGGATCTGAGTTAGTTCCAGTTTTTAGGAGAAATCTTGAATGTAAACTCTACCCCTCACAACCAGTTTTACCCTCAGCTCCTCCTCTCCCCTCAAGCCCCGCCCACAAACAGACGCTCCTGCTCGCTCGTATCGTTCCAATTAAGAGATATCGATATATTACCAAATGTCATCAATAACTAATAACTATTGACTGATATTTAAAGATTTTTTGTATAAAAACCACAAAATAAAAAGATGCTTCTTTAACAGATTCCTGTCTACTCCACCTTTAAGTCGGTTTTCTTCTCGTGGTCCAGACTTCTTTCCTTAGACTAGAGATCAGCTGGACTCTCTCATATGAACACTGAGTTCTTGTTGCTGATGTGGATCTGTGTGAGTCTGAGTGTGTTTGTTTTTTGCTGCCATTCTTGGTCAGGACCCCCCCCTGAAAAAGAGATTGATGATCTCAACAGGACTAGTCTGGTTACATCAAATCAAAAAGACACACAACCTGCCTCCTGTCTTTGTCCTCTACAGAAAACCTGATCCAGCTGCAGGACTCACATCTGGGACATGTAAGACCACATGGATCCATGACCCAGACGGAGCGGTAACATGACATCCAGCAGAAACAGACACAATAAAGACAAACAGACGAGGTGATTTCAGTGACTCAGTTTGAGGATTTTTATGATTTTTTTACCCACAATCAGAGACTTGACCACAATCTGAGCTGAGTCAGAAACATCCAAACAGTCAGACTAATAAATGTGATTATTATTATTAGAGTGATTGAAAAGCTCATAACAACATGTAGATCTGTCCAAAGTCTGATTCTAGATGTCTTTACAAACACACTGATCCAACAGAAGCAGACAGAAATATCCATCGATCACATGAACACAAATATTCAGCAAACAGAGAAAGAAACAGATCATCTGAAGAGTTTTTGGGGACGACTGGAAAGACTTTAGACGCTTGGATTTGGGACAGGAAATAAGGTCGTCCTTTTTCTGTGATTTTGACCTCACTTTTTTCTAAAGTCTCAGACCTTCAACATCTGCACCAACTGAAGGTGATTTGAACAAACCATCATCTTGATGTTGTTGATATCAAACTGTATGAAGATTTTTCAACATGAGAAATACAAACAATCAAAGTTCTCCACAATCACTGTCCTTAAAGCTGCGACCAAATCAGCATCTTTAGAAAAGAATCAAAAAGCTGAAATGAAGAACTTAACCCAGAGTTTTTGGTGAGACTGATCCACAAACATTTACAAACCAGAACATTTCAAGAGTTCAAGGATCTCAGTCCATGATTTTGGTCTGATGGACTCAAAATTCTCTTTAGTTCACTTCTATAAACTCAGCAGAGTCTCCATCAGACCAGGGCATCAGTCCAGCATGTAGCGGCTGAGTGAATGTGGTCTGGACTCTGTGGAGGAGAGTCATGGTTTCAGAGACGCTGTAGAAGGACAGAATACCTGCGCTGTGATCCAGGTACACTCCTACTCTGGAGGACTGAGGACCTGAGACAGGAGTGAGGACTTTGTTGTGAAAAAATAGATAACTGTCTGTAAAACAGTCTAAACTCCAAGATTTGTCATTGTTTCCAAATAAACAATCCCATGATCTTCCGTCTCTCCTGATAGTCTTGTATGCGACTGCTACACCAACCCCGTCCCCTCTCCAGTCAACCTCCCAGTAACAACGTCCAGTCAGACTCTCTCTACTCAGGACCTGATAATAACCAGTGAATCTGTCTGGATGATCAGGATAAGACTGTTCTTCCTCTGTCCTTGTTGCTCTTCTGTTTCCATCAGATAATAACAGTCGTCTGTGTGCTGTGTTTGGATCCAGTGTGATTCTTTGTGAATATCTTAAGAAACCAGCTCTGGTCTTGGGTTCTGCTGGTCCTGGTGGTTCTGACAGTAAAACATCCACTTCAGTCACAGCCTGTGAGACGTTTGTCCACGTCTCTGTCAGAAGATCCTGGAGTTTCTCTCTGAGCTCTGACACAGCTGCTGTCACCTCCTCAAAGTATCTCAGAGGACGGATGTAGATTCTGGATGAGTCTGCAGGTTGACCCGGTTCTGACAGTGAGGGGTAGCTGTGCAGAAACTGGTTGTGGTCCTCTGTGAGTGAGAGCTTCTGCAGATCAGCGTCTTTCCTCTTCAGCTCAGTGATCTCCTGCTCCAGTTTCTCCTGAAGCTCTTTGACTCGACTCACTTCACGTTCCTGCTGGGATCTGACCTGCTGCTCCACCTCAGAGCGGCGTTTCTTCATCAGACGGATCAGCTGGCTGAAGATCTCCTGGCTGTGCTCCACAGCTTTATCAGCAGAGCTGTTGATAGCCTCCACCTCCTGTTGGAGCAGCTTCACATCTTCTTCTCTGTCCTGGATTCTCTGCTGGATGTTTTCTCGACTCTCCTCCAGATCTTTCTGCCTCTCAGTCCTTTCTGCTGCAGCTGAGACTGTGTCGTGGCCTTTGTGTTGGTCCAAACAGCAGAGAGAACAGATAGACTGTTGATCAGTGCGGCAGAAGATCTTCATCATCTTATCATGACGAGAGCAGATGTTCTCCTGAAGCTTCTTGGAGGGCTCCACCAGCTTGTGTTTCTTAAATGTAGGAGATTCAAAATGAGGCTGGAGGTGAATCTGACAGTAAGAAGCCAGACATTGAAGACAGGACTTGACAGCTTTCAGTTTTCTCCCACTGCAGACGTCACAGGCCACATCTTCAGGTCCAGCCTCAGAGGAACCATCAGGAGCAGCTTGGAGTCCGCTCTTCTTCACTTCCTCCACTAAACCTGCTAACATGGTGTTTTTTATTGGGACAGGCCTCGGTGTGAAAGTCTCTCTGCACTGAGGACAGCTGTAGATCTTCTTCTCATCCTCAGTATCCCAGTAGGATTGAATACAGCTCATGCAGAAGCTGTGTCCACAGGAAACAGTCACCGGATCCTTCAGAAGATCCAAACAGATGGAACAAGAGAAAGACTCACGGTCCAGATGAACTCCTTTCTGCGCCATTTCAACACTCGCTGTCGACGACGACTGACTGAGTTTTATTTCCTGAGAAGTCAAACTAGTCTGAGCTCTGATCTCAACAACATGTGTGAGTCAGCAGGATATGACCTCAGCACACAGCGGTTACACCCAACCTTTAGGCTGTAGATCTGAAGGGGAGGGAGCAAGGGAGGGAAGGAAACAAGGAAGTGAGAGTGCAGAGTAGAGAGTGCTGTGTGAGAGAGGAGGGAGGGGGATCCGGTTTGTCTACAATCCAGAAAGAGGAGTGTCTCTGTGAACTTTAGACTCTCAAACTCCAACAAGCAGAAGTTCTTAAAGCTGCAGCCGTCCTGAAGATCAACTGAACCAACATTTATTCACCTCATAGAAACCTCAGCGAGCAGAAACACACTTCAACTGTTTCAGAGCCACAGAGTTAAAGATACAACACAGAGAAACACTTTGAATAAAATCCATGAAGAAGAAGAACGCTGCAGAGAAAACTGAGCGACTTATAAACCAGTGAAGCTAAAAGGATTCAGAGCTCCCTGTCAGTAGCTACGTTTACATGGAGCCAAATATTCCGAATATAATCGGATTAGAAGCCCAATCGGAATGAAAATGCTCCATATAAACACCTCATTCGGAATAAACAGGCCCATTCCGAATGGAATTTCATTCCGATTCACAGGGGTAGAATTTTCCTTTTCCCATTCCGATTAAAAGCAAAATCCTGTCATGTAAACGGTGAATCGGAAAGTTGTCAGGCTGGGTTCTGTCTGCGCATGCTCTGTCCTGATATAAACAAGCAGTGACGTATGACTCACATGGAAACATGATGGCGGCTTCCAAGCAGAGCACGATGCACTGGTCTGCGTCGGAGATCACGTGATCAATCAATCACGTGATGTTTGAAGGTATCACGTGTCTGTAAATAGCTGTTCCGATTGAATGCCGTGGCACATGTAAACACCAGATCAGAATAGATCGCTTCCATGTAAACAGTTCGCCTGGGAGCTTCAATCGGAATGATTATAATCCGAATGAGAAAAAAGTCTGCATGTAAACGTGGCTAGTGTCAGGGCTGAGGTTTGTTAGGGTCAGCGAAGGGTTAACAGCGCTTTCAGGGCTGCTTCAGTGACCTCTGTTACTGACGACAACTGTGTGAATTAACATCAAGTGTTACAGTAATACTTGGTCGTCATTGTAGCGTCCTTTACGCTGGTTTCCACGTCATAGAGTCTGTTGGTGAGGCGAATGTCATGGCAGATTACAGTAATCAGTAGTACTCACAAGTTACAGACTCTCCTCTCTTTGAGGGGAGGTAGACGTTCTGTCTTCAGCACAAAACCAGCTTCTTATTCAGACTCTGGACTATTTCCTGACCCCCTTTTGCCCTCTTCTTTTCATGGATGGAAGTGGGGGCAGGTGGAGCGTCCAGTCCAGACCAGACCAGATCTTAGTTTGACTCTTCTGTATTTGTCTTCTCCCCAAAACCTCTCTGTCCTCCTTGGTTTCTATCAGGTCTCTTCAGAGGAGTGGGGGAGGCAGAGCGTACAGGTTCATCCTTGTTTTCCTCTTTTTCTGTTTGTGGGTTTGACCAGCGCCAGTTTTAGGATCCTCCCACAGCTGACTTGGACTTAACTCATCCAGACATTGACATAAAATGATTGAAAACACTTCATGGTTGGGGTCTTCACTGATCGCTCATCTTTGTTCATTTAGAGGCAGGAGTGTCTTCGGTTAATCTTAAAACAGTTCTGAGTTTTTCTTTGCTCACATTGATCAACAAAATGCAAAAATCAAAGCTGTGGTTAAATCCAGCAGCAGCTCCAGGGCGGTTGTGAATCCCAGCCTCATCTCAGGCTGTTGTTGTTGTTAAATGTTGTCAATCAATAAAGTTCTGCTTCAAACTCATCCACGTCTTAGCAGTATCCTCGATAACGGCTTTTCTTCCAGTCCACTCCTCTTTTTTAATTTCTGTTTTCTCTTCATGTCGGAGTCAGAACTTTCTCATTTAGCAGCTGATGGTTCTGAAATATTCGCACCATCGCTGATCTCGGCTCTGATTTGTGAATCCTCTTCAATTACTCCAGCCAATCAATGTTTTCAATATGAAATTAGCTGCAGATACGACCATATGGGACTGGTATTCATGAGTGTGCACATGAAGATTGACAGCCCTGATTATTCTGAATCCAAAGAGAAACTCTCAGTCAGTGGAGCAGACAGAATAAAAAAATAAATAAAAACGCTGAAATCTGCCGCAGTTTGTCTGTTTGCATCTTTTTTATTGTTTGTGATTTAATAAAGAGCTCTTCACGTTCGAACCTTGATACCTTTGATTAAGCTTTAAAAGAGACATCACCTGCTCCGGCGTATATCCACATATATCCTGAATGTATACGTGAGGCAGTTTCTGATGATTGACACCTGGAGCTGAGGTGCCCCGCCCCCTTCAGCAGGCTCTTTCAAGACCGTGACACGTGTGCTCGTCTGTTTCCTACCTGTGTTTGTGTGCCGGAGCACGTCCCCGGGGTCAGAAGTGGTTTATGGAATAATCTGTAAGACATAAATTAATTGTCGGGGCTGTCAGCGGAGAGACAGCGGCGCCTCTCACAGAGGCAGCTCTGGAAAAAGATTTGAAAGATGATTTGAATATTTCTCTCTCCTTCCCCCGGTGTCATATTTGATTTGACAGGCCTTAATGGCTGCCGACATTGGAAATTCACCCGCACTGGAATTCATGTTGGAATGGAAATCGGCTCGGCTGCTTTGCTTTTTGCTTTTCTCATCTTATAAAAAGGATCAAGAACTTTTTGCCTTGTTAATACTTCTTTTTGTGCGTTTGATATTTCTTTAAGCTTGAGCTGAAGAAAGAGGAGGAGGAGGAGGGTGGAGGCTACGTGTTTGAAATTCATCTTTTCCACTTGTGGAGGAGCAGCCTCTCCTCCATCTTTAATCCCCTCAGTATTAATGCGGCGGTTCTGAAGGTCCACAGGTATCAGCCTGCAGACTCTGACTCGGTGACGTATCTTGTGTCGCCGCATCACACTCCTGACTCCATTAACCGATGAAGAAGCTCCACTGCTAACGGGGAGGAGCAGGTGGAGACGAGAGAGGGGGGTTTGTTGATGCAGCAGGAATCAAACTCAGACCCTCATCTATTGACCAAAGTCTCCAAAAGTCACGATCGGTCACTATAACAGGAGACTACAGCATATTTATTATCTGCAGGAGCATCTGAGGTTATCAAACGGAGGATCTGGACTTCCTTCTATGACTTTATTGATGAAATATTTATACGTTAAAAAACTGTCAGTGGAAGAGTCAAGAGCCAAGGATGTCACATGATTTAGTAATTAAAGAAAACAGACGTTCACGAGGGTGGAAGTACGAGGTCAAGAAGATAGACGCTTTCAAATCAACGCAGTCTCACTCCAAAACGTAGGGTGACCATGTTCTGAATCTCCAAGAAGAGGACACTATGAGGCAGGGTGGAGTCACAGGCAAATATTTGAGGGTTTCACGGGTTGGGTTGAGTGTTTTTTACATGCTTTTAGCTTAGTTATTTCACAGTTATTTCACAACTTCTCTCATTTTTACTTTGTTTTCATAGTATCTGTTTGTTTTATCGTGACAATGTTTTTTTTCTTTTTTTTTTTTTCATTTCAACATAATTTCTTTCAATTTTCTCAACTATATTGTCACAACAATAGGTGTTTGTTGTTGCTACAGACGCTATCAATGACAAACCTGCAAACTTCCCCACCGCGGGATGAGTTAAGGGTTTATCTTATCGTTTTCTGATATATGATTATAATGAGTTATAAAGCTTACTGTTGAGCACACATCTAAATGTAAATCCCAGATAAGTGGTAATGTAAGTTAACGCAACAACCAAAATGAAGCTAAAGCCACAAGATATCTGAAAATACAGTAATTTCCACCGAAAATAAAAATGATGTCCTCCCAGTCATGTGAGCTGAAGTCTGACCGCAGAAAAGAAACATACGGTCACAATTTCAGAAACTTTTTGTGAAATGACTACGCTGGACCAACATAGGTATTCCATATTTTGGAGTGAGAAAGGCGTTTTCTCGTAGAAATAAGAAATTGTCTTTAATTCGACATCGTTTAAATCGAGCTCCAAGTTGCATCTCTTCATAGAGATTGATACGAGCTCACAGCCGATTAAAACCGTAAGTGCAGCATCAATAATCAGCTCCAGACCGGGGCATAGATTATTCCATGTTACTGTGTGAACCGCTGACCCCGCTGCTGTATCGGAGGATCTGCACTCAGCCTGGTTCTGTGGTTAGAGAGGCTTTTAAATGCAGCTGTTTGTTCGTCTATTTGAAGCTCATTTTGTCACAATGAAGTAAATTATTGTGTTTTTATTCAAACACTTTCCCGTGATGGTCTAAACTAATTTCCTGACTCTTTCTCCACAGCACATAAAGAAGCTCTTCCTCGACTTTAAACGGATGGATTATCATGGTGAGATGAGGAAAAGAGGTTTAAAGGAGGGGCTGCGGGCGGGCGGGGTGGAGGCGGAGTGGTTTCAGAGCAGTAATCTGGTTTGGAAGTCACGGCTGGTCCATACACTCCCAGTAAATTTCCTGCTGTAAATGGGGGCTAATGGGGGAAAGGTCTGTGTAATTCTCTCTCCATTAGCGGCTCCGCCTGGCCTAATTGCCCAGCCGAGCCTGAACAATTTTGTTAGACGTTGCCCGGGTAATTATGGCTGCTTTGGCTAAAAATAACAGCTAGAGTCGGGCAGCGGTTTTCATTTCTCTTTGTCTTCAGACTCAACCGTCGCCCTCCTCCACCCGTCAGCCGCTCCACACCGCAGGGGACACACCGAGCTGTAAATAAAACCAGTACGGAGGCCACGCTGTGTTGGAGGCGATCCGCGGGGCCGGGGGAATTGAACCAGCGGCGGTTTGTTTCTCCGGCGGACACATACCCTCCTCTGGTAATGAGCTGAAGGACACTGATAAAGGATGAAACTCTGACTGATGCTTCCACTGCCATCAAGTGGTAAATTTCATCCCCAGTGAGGGATGTTTGTGCAGCTTATTGATCGGATTTCTAAACTAAAATCAGTTTTCTTCAGAGACCCAAATCAGCATGAACAGAACCTGAAATTCAGAGCAAGTTTCTGTGTTGACAGACATTTAGTAAATCCAACTACCAAGTCCGAACCTGGGGTGGAGTCCTGATCCGCCATGAAGAGTGGAAACCATCAAGGCTCGATATTGATGAACATTAACATTTAGGAGACCGGATTCTGGAGTCTGACCCGTTCTTCCCTGAGAGAGGATTTCAGCTGCTCAACAGTTCAGGGTCTCCTTGGTCCTGGTTTTGGGGTCATGATGCTCGAAGTGTTTCAAATGGGGGACAAGTCAAGACTACATAAGTCCAGTTTCTCAGCAGGACTCTTCTCCTGTTGTCAGAATGTGGTTTGGGATCATATGAAGGTCTTCCCTGAAAAACTTTTTGTCTGGGTGGACGCAGATATTCCTCCTAAACCTGGAGATCTTGTTCAGCATTAATGGAGCCTTCACAGATGACATGGACTCTGATGATCCCCAGACCATCAGGGATGCTGGATTTGGACCCTGTACTCTTTAAAACCAAGGACGCAGCATCTGTGATTTCCAATTCTTCCATGAAAGGACAACTGGACTTACTTGAGACGTTTCACCTTAAGTCCAGTTGTCCTTTCCATGTGGTGATTCCCACTCCAGAGACCATCCAGTCCTGGTTTTGGTCCTTGTCCCTTTATTTCTCCAGATTCTCAGATGAGAATCCTCAGGTGGAGTACGGTTCGGATCATTTAAAGTATTTCTGTATTTCCGTTTTCCTGCCGGCGTCTCTTCTGCTGACGGGACGTTTGAAGAAGTTGTGACACCGAAGTTTGCGGGTGCAGCAGAGGGAACAGCTCTTTTAAACGACACTCTGTGTTTTAATCTGCCCTCCATCCTCCCTTCCTTCCCTCCTTCCAGACAGATTTACCTCCCGCTCCGTCAGCCCCGGCCTCCGCATTTATCCCAGCAGCCCTTTCTGCTGGCCTGGCACTTGTGTTTATGTAGTGCTGTGATTGTTGATTTATACTTTGACAGCATGCATCTGCGTATTTTGCTGATGTGTGTTTTTTATTTGTGTGTACGTGCAGCGGGTTGGGGCTTGTATGTGTGTATTTCTGTCAGTGTGCGTTTCGTGTGCGTGTGTGTGTGTTGCTAACAGAAGCTATTGACTTGTTGTAAAGCCGCGGTCCTTGAGAGTATTTATGAGCGGGGAAGCGGAGCAGCTCGGTGGCATTTTCCCGTCGCTGAAGCAGAACGACTCTCTCGACTCTCTCGCTCTCTCTCTCTGCTCTGACAGCCTCCGTTGAGCAAAGAGACACGTTTCCCAGAGTTCATAGCATTCTCTTCACTCTCTCTATCCATCCACAGCTATCTGACAAATCCATATGGAAGCTTATTGATGGCAAAATATTGAACAAGCACCAAGACGAGCTGAAATCGATCTGGAAGGGAGGGACACACGGACTCTGGTTTGTATATTCTTCGTCAGAAAGCAACACATCAGACAGAAGCGTTTCCTGAACAAAGTGAACCTTCATTAAAGACACAGTTAGTATGTTTTCATCCCTAATTATAGAACCACCCACTTGAAAAACAGCCACACCCCTGATTGTGTGTAGGCTCCACCCCCATGTTTGCAGACATCTTTGAAAGTACGGGTTATTCTGTACTGTTTTTCTGTTTTCAGCTCCCTTCTGCATGTAAATGGAGTTTCAGGGATGAGAAGGAAACCTCCATGTTCTTCATCATCATCATCCTCAGCAGTGCTCTCTGTTTTTGGTAGGTTCCTTGTTAAAAACTTCGGCTCACTCATTAAAACACTCATTTTGTTCTCGTACAAAGTTCCTCTGTGGTGACAGACTGTCGCTTCTCTTTCTGGAAGCTCCAAGTTCATGTTTTAAACCCTGTCTGGCATTCACAGGAATGGACGAGGCTATCGAACCCAGGTTCTCAGTGGATAGTGATCAATTTTCTTAGTTTTGTCACATCTTGATGAAAACTTTGGCTCCTTGTATAAATTAGCCAGCCTTTGGTTATGCAGGTGTTTTGTTAAAGCCATATTTTTCATGTGTCGTCATCCAGCATGAGCTTTAGCATCTGAAAACATCCCCATGGAGTTCCTACATGAACACCAGGCCTTTTCCGCTCGTGTCTTCAAGACATTACTTCTAGGAGGAATTACTGTTGGAAATAAAAAAAAGAAGAGACCAAAACAAGGGGTCCCGATGTGAATCCCTTTCATTCTTCAAGTGGAAACTGGAGGAACTTCAGTTTGGTCTGAGATGTTAGAGAGCGTTAGCACCAAAACCCCTCAGTCAGGATGGTCAGACCAGGACACGGAGAGAGACCTGGAATAAGTTACTCAGATGATTCATAGCTGCTCTGACCAGGACTCTCTACAGATGATGAAGACACAGCAGGTTCATACGGGGACGACAAAATCAAGACCTCAGAGACCTGAATGAGATACCACGTCTCATGGTAAAACACGTCTATTCTGTTAACAATAAAAAATGAGCTTTACGCAGTCTGTAGATCCACAAAAAGACTCGATGCCTCATATCAGTCAGTACTCTCCGCTCTGTTCGTCATTTTTCAAGCCTGTAAACTCGGACAGAAGTTTGCTCCTCTCTCCTGATGCTCCTCGTAGTTTTGTCGTTGATAAAGCTCCGTACATCCTGATATGCTGAGACGAGCCGTGATGTTGTTGCTAACAGATCCAAACATGACCCGCAACAGATGCACAGCTTAATTTCCTCTGCAGACTCTAATGGAGACAAATGGACGAGTCGGGGAACGACAGAAGGTGTGGCACATCTATATTCATCTAGATTCCCTCAAATTTGTATCTTCATACAGAGTCGAGTCGAAACCAACTACTGAATGCTGCTCAGTCTGGAGGTCTGGGCGGAGCATTTTCCTCATTGCTGTTGACCTTTGACCCCGTATCCAAGTTAAAATCAATGCAGACTGATTCATAAAGGCTTTCAGCGTCGATATCTGCTGCTAATGTTCGTTCATTTCTGACAATCCTGATAATAAACAGTCAACAGCAGCAGCAGCAGCAGCAGCGGAGAGGCTGCTCACAGCCAGACAGTAACTGCCAAGACGTGGCACTGTGCACATTAGTGCGGTGAATAGTGAATACTTCATAATGCCATTTTATATTAATTGGGACAAACTTGTTTGCAGCTCCTCCTGCTGCTCTGAGCATGCTCAGATCCTGCTATAAATGATTCGGGGGCCACAGAGGCTTTCAGATTTGAAGATATGAAGAGAAATCAATGGGAGCGGAGACGCTGAGCAGCAGGAGGGATGAAGCCTCCTGCATGATAAATGAGTGGATGTTGGTGAAACCAGCTGAAGCGGCTTTAATTTTGTATGTTTTCTTGATTTCCAATTATTCTGCGTTTCATTTTTTTCCAGTTTGAGGCTTTTATGATGTTTTATGTGGGCAACTCAAAATACAGCTAATGCCTGTCCGGATCAATGAAGTACAGCGAAACCAAGACGATCAGATAGACTTTGGAGGAGCAAGAAACTGCAGTGCTGCACGGAGCACGCTCAGATAAGTTCCATCCCTGTCACTAATTACAACAAAACAAAATTTATATGGCTAACAAATAAACATAAATGAATTACAGTTTAACAACAACTTGGACTAAGAATTAGACTCTGGCCAGAATCAGAAGACAGAATTTGTCGGAATATGACGCGCGGAATCAAAATCTACCCGGATACAGCAATGCTTCTTTTTGATTGGCTGTTTGGTAGATATACTTTATTTGATTGGCTTGCGTGTGGCACGCAGCTTCTGAACTCTCGGGGAAACTCACTTAATCGCTACCTGTTCCATTTTAAAAGAAGTGCAACTTGGTGGACGTCACTGTGGTCATTTAAATGCTTGAAAAATACAGTGTGTGGTGTGTGAACGGGTGGGAATGCGTGTGTCACATGCCAAATGCGTGAGACTTGAGAGCCCGTAATTGTGCTCATTTTACATCTGGGCTTCACCAGAGACCACGAGTCTTGGTGAGTTGGTATCAGGGGTTCATCGGAACCTCACAAGTTTCTGCACTGCTGTAGGCTCAACTGGTTTCAGGAGGAAAAACTAAATCCTGCTGACTGCAATGAAGATCTTTATCCAGGAAGACGTTTAAGACCTCTTAGACTTTGGGATCCACTCAAATTTAGACTGACTTACCGTGAATCCTCAAGTATTTACAACTATTCTTTATGAAATGTTTTAGAGGCAGGCCTTTGTATCAAACACTGTAGTACCAAATGAAGGGCTGATCCGCATGAAAGCTCGAGTTATAATGACAGCAGAGAGTTAAGGTTGGAAGGATACGCTCTGTACTTCATTAGAAGAGCTCCACTGGATCGGTTATTTGGGTATTTTTGCCGACTTATGAACGCAGAAACATGAAGAACCGCAAACCGTCCTTTATGCAGCTGTAAAATCCCTACATGCTCTTGGATTTGTTCTGTTAGAGGTCAAAGTCGACCTTCACTCAAGCTTCTTCTTCTTCTCAAACCCAGATGGATTTCTGCTCAGGAGGTCTTGGTACAAAATATAAAATCATGCAGACAGTATAAAACTTTCAGTCGTTTTGTTGGCCAATGAAATGTTGCTTTATTTGAGCAGCTCCTCTGAATCCAGTTTTCTCTGTGTTGGACTAAAGGCCCCCGTCTGGTTTTGGGCTTTCTTGAAGAACCTGCTGCAGGGTTTACCTCACATCCAAAGTGGGTCAGTCAGGTTAAAAAAAAACACACAGGTGTTCTTGTTTGTCCCAAAAATGCTGGATAAGATTAAATTCAGGATCCTGCACATGCCGCTTAAGTCTAGAAAACCCCTGATGCAGAAACGACCTCGACCCCCTCACTCCCTGTCTGCCCACCTCTTTCTAAAAACACTCCGACATTTCAGCAGCTTTGATTAGTGAGCAGTAGGTGGATGGCTAATTACTTCAGCCCTTTTTAATGACACCGTCTGCTCTTTTGCCTTTGAATCCCTAATGAGAACTGGCTCTAACACACACAAACAACAATAAAAGATATTTAACAGTAATTGTCTGGCAGCAACAAAAGACGATGACATTTCAGAGCGCGGTGTTGCCGTCGCCGTCGCTAATTGAGCTCCGTTGCACCTGAAGATTTATGGAGAAGCTGAACAGCGAGCGTCCTCCTCTCTGCAAGGACACTCTGCTGCTGTAGAGGAAAAAAAAAGAAGACAGGCACGGCTGCTTTTGAACGTGCACGCTGTCAAACTCACAAAAGTGAAGGTTGTTTTTTAAACTGCTTGTAAATATGGTACCTGCAAAAAAAAAATCTGTCACTGTAAATGAGTCTCAACAATGCATCACGCTGTCTCGTCTAAACCGGAGAAAAATCGCTAAAAGGCTTTTCAGCACTGATGAAGACTAAATCTGCACTCCTATTTTCTGCTGCTTTTGAAACTCATACAAGGAAGTGAATAACCATCAGTTTCTGAAGAGCGATTTTAAGACTTTGAAAGAATATTGATTTTAAGAGTTTCATGGATGCTGGTCAACTCCGATCTTTAATTGAGAGACTGCTGGGAGAACCGGCACACAAGCTAGGCTACAGCTTCCTGCAGAGTCGAGTCTGCTGTTTGGTTTCAGTAATTCTCAGACACCTCAGAGCTTGAGGCTTAAAGGTGTGGCAGGCAGGAATCTGTTAAAGAAGCATTTTTTTTTGTGGTGTCTATACAAAAAAAGCTTTTAATATCAGTCAATAGTTATTAGTTATTGATGACATTTGGATATATAATGATATCGCTGTGTTCTCTTATGTCTGTGTAGTCAACATTTTAACATTTTTGAGCAGTCATTCTCCACCTCCTCTGACCTGATTGGTTGTGAGGCAGACGCTGCTCCCCCGTGTCGTTCAGGAGCCCAAACAAAGTTAGCGTGCTACAATATCGGACAGTAGAAACCAACCAGAAAGTTCGGAAAATTGTCTGAATCCTCCTTTGGCCACGACTGCCGACACAAGCAAGAAAACAAAGTAAATACCGGAGACTCTGGAGGAATAACGGGCGCTTAAAACAGAGGTAGACCGGACAAGAGCTAAAAAGCCGGGTCAACATAAACGATGGGGGACGCTTGGGGATCTTGGTGACCCTGTAACCTTTCTGCTGGACAGGTAAACCGCTTTAACAAAGTAAGACAAGTGTCTGTAACAGAAGTGTTTCTTGTCAAACGGACCTGCTGTAGCGTGTTGTAGCGCCATCACTAAACTGTCCTCCCTCGGGTCCTGGACTATGTCACTTTATCCTCGTTGTAGAAGTCCTGCAAACATTGTGTTTGCTGGTAGTCTGTTGGCATCTACAGTAGCACCAATGCTTTTGACTTTCACCTTGACTGGGCCCCATTTGTAATGATCTGAAGTATTTATCTGCATTATATCTGAATTTAATTGGAACGATACGAGCAAGCAGGAGCGTCTGTTTGTGGGCGGGGCTTGAGGGGAGAGGAGGAGCTGAGGGGAAAACTGGTTGGGAGGGGTGGAGTTTACATTGAAGAGTCCTCTTAAATACTGTCACAAATCGAGGTTTGCTTGGGTCAAGGTCTCTCAAAAGTCGCTAAATTACACAATTGATTTGACATTGCCTGCAGAAAACTTGAGCCGAGCATCCTCATTGGTTCTCCCAGCAGTTTCTCATGGACACTGGCCTGATCATCTCGTAGTGTGTCGCCCTCCTAAACTGGAGATAATCGTCCGAGGACAAACTCTTGGATCAGGGATGAGAAAACTTTTAGTCACAAATAAAACAAACCCTAAACTCCCAGCCTCTGTGAAACACCTGCCCGGTGCTCTATTTGTTAAAAGCAACAGCAGCAGAATAATTCACTTTTTTTTTAGATTATGGACCTCTAGGAGGGAGCTGGTCTAAGTGTACCTGAGTTTCAGATCTCGTCCCTGTTTGATTAAATACTGCTGCAGTGACCGGGTGTTTCTACCGTCACAGTCGGTCATTTATTGGATTTCCATTTAAAGACAAACAGGATAAATGAAGGGCTGTAAATCAGACGGTGGATTCAGCTCAGCGGGCAGCAGTTAAACAGAACTTCCTGGACCTCAGCGGGGAATCATAACGTTCCAGTGAATTACAGAAATGTCCTTTCCAGGGTTTTATGGCCTTCCTGCTTTACTGCTGCTGCTGCTCATCCCCACAGGAACTGTTGGGAAAAATTAAACTGCTGCTGCTGCCGGACAGTTCAGGAAGAAAGGTGTTCGTACCGCAGAGACAAAGTGGAGAGAGAGCGGAAAGTTTTCTGTTGCAGAGTCCTGGCGTAGTCTTCAGGAACATGAATTCAAACATAACCTCTGCTCTTTTTTCATCTTCTGACATGTCTTGAAATATTCATATTCCTGTTTGTCTGTGGTTCCTGCAGGTGATCATTACTGCAGGATCTAGAGAGGTAAGAGGAAATTTACGTAACGTGTAGAAGTCTCTCCTGCATCTCACTCTCCTTCCACCTGGCCGGGATTTTAACCTTTGAGTGAGGATTTCTCCGTGGCGGTTTGGCAGTTTTTCTTCAGTAAAGAGTTTGATTTATCCTCCACGGCTGACTGAAGTAAATAAAACTGTCTGTAAACTGCCAACGAGGATTTGATTGATTTTTGGAAGCTGATTCCTCTTAAAGCCGACAACATTTTCCATCAATAATATCTTCAAAGTGATGCTGTCAGTGGAATAGAAATGCGTTTCTGCACTGAAACAGGTGGATAATAAAATATACATGTCAGAGTCTGCAGCCTGATCAGTGCGGTACCTCCGTCTGTGTGCAGGTTAATCAGGGTTTCATTGATTAGTTCTTCAATTGATGAATCTCAAATCAGGTCAGACCGCAGCGGATCAGGTTAATAATAGCTGCATTATTGGCTTCATACGCAGGGCCTGAGGAACGCTGCCGTCTTATTGGCCGGTGCTCAAACCTCCCTCCCTCCTCCTCGCAGCGTGTCACACCGAGGCAGCGCTTGGCTTTCATTAGGCCGACCATTGATCTGCAGGAGCAAGACGGAGCGGCGCCCTAATGAGGGGCGACTGGCAGCATGTCGGCCTGTCCGTGCTGCTCCGCCTCCTCCGCCATCATCATCCACTCCTCCTCCGCCATCATCGTCCACACCGCCTTCCCTGCTGCTGGGACAGTGGAGGGGAGAGGGGGGAGTGAGAGAGTGAGGTTGATACAGAGGAGAAAGAGAGAGAGAGTGAATTACAATTCCTTATTACTACTGGGGAGGATTAAGAGACCTCCACAGGAAGGAAGAAAGGAAGGAAGGAAGAAGGGAAGGAAGGAAATGAGGAAGAAAGGAAGGGAGGAAGAAGGGAAGGAAGGAAATGAGGAAGAAAGGAAGGGAGGAAGAAGGGAAGGAAGGAAGGAAGGAAGGAAGAATGACAGAATGAACTAAAAAAAGAAAGAAAGAAGGAAGGAAGGCAGGAAGCAAGGAAGACAGGAAGGAAGGAAAAATAAAAGTAAGAAAGAAGGAGGAACAAAGAAAATGAAAAAGTAAGAAAAAAACAAGAGAAAGGGAAAGAAAGAAATATAGAAAGAAAGAAAAAAAACAAATGAAAAGAAAAGAAGAAATAATGGAAGTAGGAAGGAGAGAAAGAAAGACAAAAAAGTGAGAGAAACACAGGAAAAATAAGAGAGTAAGAATGTAAAAAAGAAAGAAAAACCGAATCATGGGAGCAAAGATGGAGTGAACGGCCGAAGACGAGTCTGAAGAAAAGAAATGATGAATCTTCAAAACCGTTGAGGCTCTTTGGAAAAGTTCTTACTAGACTTTCTTGAAGAACTTCACCTTTAGATATTTGGGGAGCCGGCGTGGGAGTGCAGAAGCTGCAGTTCCTTTTTTGTCCACTTGGTGCTGCTCAGAAGTGAGTCCATCTCCACAGAGTCCTGCATTAAAAAGTCCAACTTTACAACAGAACACCTGACACCATCAGTCCTGTTTGATAACAGCTCTTGAACCTTCTTCTTCAACATTTGCGTGGTCATTTTCTTCTTTAACTCGCTGATTTGTATGTGTAACACTGACAACATTTGTTTTGTGTAGAAAACGAACACCCAGAGGTTGCTATGGCAACATCTAAGGCTGCTTCATTCAGGTCTGGGCGTCTTTGAGGTTTTCCAGATCGGCTCTTATTGAATGTAAGTGAATGATTCATCCCAGATTAGCTCACAGAGACCTGGTTTATGTTAACTCAGCTGCACCTGAAACTGGATTACTGCCTCCTGTCTCTGCTCCACCTGCCGCCTTACATTCCCTTCATTTGATAAACGGAGGTTCATATAAGAGAGTCTGCTTCAGGAGGGGTTTCTGTACTCCAGTGTGCATGTGCGAGTCTTTTACCGTTATCTCTTTAAAACCTTTTTTCCTCACCTCCTTGTTTCCTTCCTTTCTTTTCCACTTCTCCCCAGCCTCCCTCCTTGTCTCCTTAAACACCCTTCGTTAACCCTTCCTTGCTCGATCAACTCTTCCTCTTTTCTTCATCTTCTTGTTTTTTCACCTTTTTCTTGACCCAAATTAAAAACCTTCAAAGACATGGAGTTTATATCTCCCCTCTCCTATTGTACCCTTCACACCTTGACTGGTACCTGTCTCTTCTCTTCACACTCTTCGTCCTCTCCTCTTCCTCCCGTCTGCTTTGAAGCCCAAGAGACCACGCTGGTCCCACTGGGATTTCTTGGATGAATATTAAATTTGAGTTTTATCAGGTCAGAGCTGCAGCTCCAGTTTGATCGAGTCTGAATACTCGTTCCTGCAGCTTCTTCATTTCATTAAAAAAGAAAAATAAAAAAAAAGAAATGATCAAAATCGTTGGCAGATAACAAAGCGACAAATAGACCCAGAAGAAATATAATAACAGCTATTTTCACTGGAGGCAATTTGAACAATGTGTGGTTTAACACAGCTGCTGCTGGGAAACAGCTTCTTCATTTCGCTGCTGGGTTTCTCAGTAATGACGGTTTCTACAACACATCAGAAAGTGGAATAAAGTGCAGCAAAACTAAATGACGGAAAAGAAAACTGAAGCTTAAAAATAACACATGCAAAAAGAAAATAAAACAGGCCCAGTGGACAAGTACTCGCTTATCTGTGTAATAATCAGTTAAAAAACTTAATGATATATTTGAATAAAAGGGGATTTTTCACGACAAACATGATGCAGCTTTAATGACTAAATCAAAGAGAGCTGAAAGAAAAGAATATACTCTAAAACGTGTTAATCTGTGAGATGATGAAAATCAGACAAATTTAAGATTTAAGAATGTGTTTTGATTTTTGAAGACGTGACCATCTGTCCACTGTTAAATATACACAGAAACAAATATTTAATTACTCTGTTTGTTCGTGCGCATTTCTTTAGTTACTGTGAGGCTAAAAAATATTAAAAATAAAAGACTCTGGTGTAAATAACATCTTAAATATCATGTGTACAACCTTCTCCAGTCTGTATTTCTTATCAGTATTTCCTGCATATGAACGCTCCCTGGGCGGGTTCACCATCCTCGGTATGATTCTCTGACACATGCTCAAACATGTATCTACCTTTGCGTCGATTATTATTGTTGTATATTTTTGTTTGAGATATCACAGATTAAAAATGGTGGATTGATGAGTGGACGTGCCAATTACGTCTTCAGATTCTGAAAGATCCAGACCAGGTTAAATCAGGTGTTAAAAAAACTTGAGCGTAGATTTTGATTAGATGTCTCATGCTCATTTCCAGTTCTGCATGTTTTACTTAAACTTTGATTTAATTTACAAGCGAATATTCAACTTTTTCAATCGAGTCATAAAAAGTGAGCATTATTTGTAAGCTTCATTGCTCAGGATTAAGATTCCTTTAGTGTTTAACATCTTGAATTCTTATTAGATTGTTTAACTGTATACTTTTTGTAAATCTAACAGATGGAGGGAGCCTGAGATCACAGATTTTAATCGCCATTGACTGCGTCTCTGCAGCGACTGTGTGTGTGCATGAGGATGAAATCAAACTTGACCTAAGCGCATCGTGAGAGTGGACACAGATGGAGGGATGAAGCCGCCGCTAACAGCCTGCTGTCACTGCTCAGGCTGTGTGGATTTCCTGTAACAGAACTCTGACCCTTCAAACAGAGTCAGAGACCCGGAGGCTCCGATAAAGAGAGGTGAAACATCACCAACCTTTCTGCCCGCTGCTCGGCTTCTACGTGTTTTCATGACAGCAGACTTTGAATAAAAATGCTTCCTGAGTTTTAGTGGACAAAGACCAAATAGAGGATCCTCAGACGGTCCTCAGAAACATCCAAGCATGCAAGCTAGGCCACAGTTTTCTGCAGACAGTTTGCTGAAGAATTGAGCTAATTTTGAGAGACTCTAACCAAATACCCAAGTGTTCGCTCCACCCAGAAATGATTCTCCACAGCTTGTTTCTGCAACATTTACAAATGCAACACACTAATATGCTCTTTCACCTGCAGAACATCCATCAGCTGTTCAGTCTACAGGCTTCAAAGATACAAAATACAACCAGACTAAATAATGAGAGGTTCTGACAGCACCTATAGTATGCTGTCAAAGGTGGACACTCATGGACACCTCTACGAGATCTAGGGGAAAAAAGTGACTCAATGCAATAAAGGAAAAAGTGGAGAATATAAATAAATACTCCAACCCCTGCCTGAAACAAGTCCGACTTACTAACGGCTATGTGGACCGAGCTGTGGCACCAGTCGTACGCTGGAGAGACTATGTCCCTCAGCTGGCCTGGTAACACCTCGAGAAGAGTTGGAAGAAGTGAGGGAGGGAAGTCTGGGCTTCCTCGCTTACCCCCAATTTCCACAGCATCCAGAATGACTATGAAAAGGCCGATCGTAGCTGATCGTAACCATTCAAGTTAACGTGTCAATTTCCACCGACTTCTTTCCGTTCCTCTGTGGATCGCCGGACTCCTCGGCTGATCACAAGAGTTCTATTTTTCTGGAGCCGCTGGATAAATTCAGCACAGATTAACCCGTGCTGGAAAGGAAGTCGGGCAAAGACACAAAATAAAACATCCGGCTTCTTTTCAAAATAAAACACTCCGTGTTTCAGGAGGATCGTATTTCACACCATGCAAACGGGCGGAGACGAACAAGTGAAAGGTTTTTAGACGTCATTTCACCCCGATGACACCATGGATGAGGAGATGCTGATTCTAGAAGTAGATTTCCTTCCCTGGAAGGACACAATCTACTGCTTATATGTCTATGTGTCTGTCTTTATGGAGACAACTCGTTATCGCGTGATTGCATGGTAATCCGTGGGTTCTTGTGAGTTCTCGCGATTACCGCTGTCAGTAATCCGCCATGAAATTCACCTCACTGATGGATCTGGTAGAAACTGGCGGATGGCGACATTCATTCCGGATGCAGTGAAAACTGGGGGTTAGGCTGCTACCCCTGGGACCTGACTCCGGATCAGACAATGGATGGATGTTGTGCCACCAAATTTGAGCCAGTCAACTTTTGACTTTGCAAGAGGTTTGAGCTGGAGACTCACCTCTATATGATGCACGGCTCGTAACTATCATGCTTCCTGCGAGATGTGACCTTAAAAAAAGACCAGATTTACATGAAAGTCCTCCCTGTGAGGATCCACAGATCATACGCAATAATCTAAGTACGAATCTTCTGCTCTGTTTTCATGGACCTGTTTTGTTCTGATAATGAAGAATCCAATTAAGCTGCAATTTGGCGTCCGATCTATTTGAGCTTTATTTGAGTTCTGTAATTTTAAATTTTAATGAATGAGTGAAAAAAAACAGAGACGACTGAGTGACTGAAGGCTGAACTCAGACCTTCAGAAGTCAACAGGCAGGCTGGAGACAAAAGAAAGAGACGGACAGACAGACGAACAGAGAAGGAGATTGGGAGTAATTAGAAGAAGCCATCAGTCACGGGTCCAAACACAGATCCCATCTGTGGGTCAAACTCTTTGTTTCTGGAAAACATCTCATTTTGGAGATAACATAACTCAATAGATATGAGATGATTTGATGTTTCTTTGGACGGTCGGGCTAATGAGGAGACTTTTCCACTCTATAAGAGACGCTCCCTCGCCGCCTGCCAACCCCCCCACGGCCGGCTGAAGATAACACAGAAATCACCAAAGATTAGCGAGGACCCGGCTCTTTGAACCCACACGCCAGAGACTCCAGATGCAGTTCAGAAAAATCAAAACTGGACTGAAGGGAGCCGTGTTTGTCTGCTCTGGTATCAGTCTGACAGAAACTTGGCAGAGGACTTCTCTGTGGACTTTTCTCTGCTGGTTTCCCCACAATGCACCTGGCTTACTTCCATTCAGGTTCAACTCTAACCCTCCAAAGGCTCCTCACTTCACGCATGTGGGAGTGAGAGTGTGAGACGTAACATCTCTGCTGACCCATTGTTCTACAGGATTATTATAATAAAGTTTTATTTAAATCACTGTGAGTATGCTTTTCGAAAAGTTTCTGTACTAACTCAAAACAGCTGCTGGAGTTTAGGTAAAAGGTTCCTGCTAAAGTTCAGGTTCAAGCTTCAAAAGGTTCCCGCTGAGGTTCAGTTACAACTTTAAAAGGTTCCTGCTAAAGTTCAGGTTCAAGCTTCAAAAGGTTCCCACTGAGGTTCAGTTACAACTTCAAAAGGTTCCTGCTCAAGTTCAGGTTAGAGCTTCAAAAGGTTCCTGTTGAAGTTTGGGTTAGAGCTATTTTAGAACATCTACTCATATCGTGGCCTTTATTTGTAGTCCATGTACAGACACTGCTGTCGGTCTACTTCCTGTCTCAACTTTCCACGGCATAAACACAGGAAACCTGCTAAACTTAATTTAAATACCACCATCTCTACAGTCTTCACACCTGATGTCCTTCACACAGTTCTTCTCAGATGATCAGCTGCAGAACCTGTAATTTGATGGGATGAACAAACGTTGTCTTAGTGAGTAAATCAGGCTCTTCTTTCTGTTATTCTCTGTTTTAGTTCAGGGAGTTTAAAGCTTAAAGCTCAGACAACACAGTTTAGGTTGTTTTATCACAAATATTAGTGAATATCAGCGAGGCCCTCCACTTTGTTTCATGAGTGGTCACAGAGAAAAACAAACGAATCAGAGTTTTTCAATAAAACAATCATCAGCACCAATTTTACTGTGTGGGTCAGTCCGACCCGACCGGCTGTGATCATCTGGTCAGGTCACTTCAGAGCGAGTTAGAGATACATTTACCGTCATATTTTTAACAATAATTACCGACAGTAAGAGAGAGCGAGGAACAGCAAAGTCAGAGAGCAGAAACAGAAAAATAAAAACATTATTTTCTGAATTTATGTGCTCAGAATAAACATAAACATCATAAACTCTTACAAACATAAAGGAAAGACACCGATTTTTCTGCCTGCTGTGAAAGTCTTTGCTTCGCACTCCGTCACAACCTCTACACCAGCATATCCTGATATTTTCTTTTTTTTTTTAGCATTGACATTACAGTGATGCAGAGATGAAAGTCCTGGAAATCTGGTTTATCCGATTCTGGTGCCAAAATCATTATGACCAAAATAAGAAAAACTTTAAATTCAGCCGCGGTATAAAAACCTAACCGTGTCCATGTAGCTCAAAGGTGGCTGATGATAATAGAAGTTGCATAAGTACATATTTATATGGTGTGTATTTGCTGTTGACGGCTTCATGAGCTCATTTCCAGCTCAGAGTTTCCTAACGGTCGCCATGACGGTGTAACTTTGCGCTCTGAGCTTCACATTAATCTTTCTCTCTGTGGAGGAGAAGCCGGCGCCTGGCACCACGAGTCCATCTATTTCTTCAGGAGGAGGTTTTTCAGCTTCCTCCACCTCTGCTGCCGTTAATTCCTGAGATCTGTCCTTTTCTCTGACATTTGCACAAATGCTAAAGGGCCTGGGCTGTTTGCCTTCCTCCATGATGGAGGACGAGGAGTCTGGCTCGGTGGCAGCCGCCGCAGAGAGCTCGACATATGAATTCAGCCCAGTTTCCCTCCACGTCCACACGGCCCGGGGATGAAATCCATCTCTCTGTGATGAGACAATGATTTGCTGAGCTCCATTGTGGCTGCAGAGAGGCAGCAGAGGGGCGAATTTGCATGTAAATGCACGAGGAAATGATTCTGCTGCGACAGCGAGGCGTTGTGCCCCTTTACCTCCTGATGTGTTTCTCTCTGACGCTACAAAACACAGCGCGCGCACACACACACACACACACACACATACACATACACACACACACACACACACACACACACACACACACACACACACACACACACATACACATACACAAACACACACACACACTCACGCAGGAAAATTCATTTACATTTTAGATTTCAATTCCACTTCAGGTGATACTCAGTGTTTTGGTGAAACCGCTGCAGACAAAAGAAGAAACAGATGGAGAATAAAATTCTGATGATGGAGAAGAGGAGGAGAGTAAGACCACATCAAAACAGACAGAAAACTTTCCTATTTAATCCTCCACTTTTAGGGTTTGGTGGTTATTTTACAGGACTATGAGTCATGAGTGTTTTTTTTCACCTTTTTTCCACCACATCGCCTGATGCTCAGAAATCAACCCACTGATTATTGATTCCGTCTTATTTTATGGATTAGTGACACGTAGAAAGCAGACTTGGCTCTCAGAACTTTTATCTGTCTTCTCTGTCTCACTTTTATCTTCATTCATCTGCAGAACATTTTCGTAAACATTGAATGTTTACGATCAGCTACGATCGGTGGATACGACCTTTTCGTAGCCATTCCAGATGCGGTGGAAATTTGAGGTTAGGGTCGGTGGCATCGAGATGTATATCTGTGAGTCAATGCAGAGTTTTAATGACTTAGTTCATTATTTTTTTTAAATGACAAGTGGGAGCATATAGATATCAAACAAATAAGGCCCCAGGATAGAGCCCTGGGGAACTCCTCATGTTATTTCTGTCAGCTCAGATGTGAAGTGACTTCAGTGACACAGTCTCTGTCTTTCAGGTGAGATCTTGTGAAGGTTTTGCTTGTTCTTGTTGCATCTACGTGGGTTTTCTTAAGTGCTATGATTCTTCTTAGTCCAATAACATGCATGTTATGTTAAATGGACCCAAAGTTCTTTGATTTCTTCTCAAGGGAAATGACGTGTTCAGTCTTTTCAGCAAAGACTCTTTGTTGACAAACTTCTTGTGGAAACTAGAACAGTCACAAACAATAGGACTACAACAATAGAGCAGCAAGACCGCAGAAAGAGCACGCAACTATTTTTTCACATCGAAGGATCCCAAACCATGAAAAATACTCCATTCAACTCAAGCTCCATTTGACCCTGAGTTGTTTTTGTATCGAGCTAACCAACCCTTACCCTGCAGCACAAGACCAAAGAGCTGCGACCCTGAACAAGATAAGCAGGTATGGATCGTGAATAAATGACTCCTGGTTGTACTTGTTCCTCTCTGTAAGACGAAAGTTTGGATCCCAGTGGAATCAGGTTTTTCTCTCTGCTGCTGGGAAAAGGAGACGACGAAAGAACAAAAGCATAAATTAAAAGTCACTTAAAAGACTCCTCCAAGACTTTGTCTGGGATAGTTATCTGGAGCTGAAGAGAAGAGAAAGTCACCGACAGTCATCTCAGTCGAGTTATTTACAAAAATATCATCCGTCTACACCAGAGAGTATTTTGACCACATTGTCATCGTTGTGTACGCTCTTAAACTCCACTCTGAATAAACTTGGATGTCAGCTGATCTACATTTGTGTAAAGAGGGAGAGATCAACACCCCATATCAGGTGTGCACAGGTGTTAGGCAGTGTCTTTTCCTCAGACAAAGTGGACCAGAAAAAAAGGATCCAACAGACTCTGAGACGGCAAAAACTAAAGATCTTTCAGAGGGATGCAGCCCTCCTGAAATTAACGAGATGAGAGAAAGAGACATAAATTAAAGATTTGAGACACAGGAACCCGTTATTCCCCGGTGCTGCAACCTACCTGGAGAGTCCAGAAGTAGAAGGTGGGGTACAGGTGTGGACTGGGATCATTAAAGATGATCTTTTTGGACCTTTTTAGTTATAGATGGACTCAGACTCGACTCTCAAATCTACTGCCGGTTTCTAGAGGTTACTTTCTTCACATAGCAGTACAGGGAACGGTCTGCATGTTTCATGAGATGTATTTATGGATATTCTACACAAAGCCAAAACCTCACTTTTACTTCCTGAAATCAGGGGATACCATGTGCAGATAAAAGTCAGAGTAAGATAATCTTGATTTATGGGTAAAGATTTGGTAAAATCATACCCATTAACTATCTCCAGTAATCATTTGAATGGCTTGTGTCGTGGTTTTCCAGTTTATTATAAGAAACAACTGTGTTTTTTTACTGTCAGTGGTGTTTCTACTTTAGATGAGCAACAGCGTCCAGAAAAGATAACCTGAAGGGGTTTATTTGAAGAGATCTCCCACTATGACATGAATCAGAGACTGTACACGAGCTTATCCACACCATATAGACTCACCGCTGGGAACTCATCTCACACAGAGACAGCAAACCTCCTCATTTGTCTCCCTCCAGCAGGAGTAAATGGTGCGCTCACCTCTCCGAGCCGCTGAGAAGGTCAGAGAGTTTGACAGGCCTCGGTTAGAGCCCCAGTGTCAATGTTTAATTACACCACAATTACACGCATCAAGCCAAACTGCTCCATCAAGGACTGTGCCGTGATAATCAATGCTTTCAACCAGACGCTCACTCGCTCGCTCTCTGCAAGCTCGGGGGTCACTGTGCTATTACCAGAGAAGAAGAACGAACAGCGGGGGAGAAGAAATGAATGTTATGAAGAGTAAAGAAGACAGCAGGAAGAGAGAATACTTTGACATGTCCCTAAAATGTCCCAGAGCGCCTCCGAGTCGGTAATTACCCGCATTTTCCATATTCATTTCTGGATTAATTCACCTTAATGCCAAAAAACTACAGCCCTAATCTCCTGCAAATGCCTACCTGTCATGGTCGTCTTGCATGTGATTATGAGGAGGAGAAGGAGAAGAGAGGAAGGGAGCAGAGGGAGGAGAGGAGAGGAGAGGAGGCAGAAACACAGCTGCCATGTTGATTAAGGAAGCCGAGGCTGAGAGGAGGCAGGAGGGCGCGCTGACGCTCCGTTCAGACGTAAAGCCTCCCGAGTTCACTTCGAAATGCCAACGCAAAAAAAAAAAACGGAGGAGTCAAGATGTTCCTTCAACCTGTGCCACTGTTTGCTCACATTTCAAACATACTGGGTGTTTTCTGATGTAGCTCTTCCACACAGACGTACTTTAAACACACTCTGGACTTTAAAGCGTTAAACAAAAGTCTTTTGATCGGACACAAAGTTTGAGGTCTTGTGGAATAGAAACCCTAAAGACAGAGAAACAGGTGGTGGAGATTCCAGGTGTTTTTGGGGGGATGCCAGAAAGATGATGTCCAACAAACCTAACCCTAAATATAAGGATGATAGAAAAGAGCTTCAGAGCCGTCGTGTCTCTGAGTTTTCTTAGAGGATGCCACGCTGCTACAGAAAGCTCGGACAAAGCCTTGGTGACGTATTTGTCTAATGATTCCTCAAAGGTCTGAAGAGCTTTTGAGCACCAGATGGAGGAGACCGTGGATTGCATACTCGTTGGTTCTGACCCTGAGTCTCCTTTAAGAGCGACCATCAGCCCCCTGCAAAAAGCTCGGACAAAGCCTTGGTGACGTATTTGTCTAATGATTCCTCAAAGGTTTGAAGAACTTTTAAGCACCAGATGGAGGAGACCGTGGATTCTGACCCCCAGTTCCCTGTAAGAGCGACCATCAGCCTTCTGCAGAAAGCTGCACTTCTGCAGACACGGCGCTGTTGAAATATGGCAGTATTAAACGCAGAAGCACTCTGATGACCTGGATTCATTCGCCACTTTGAACGCCTGTGAGTTGGGGGGGCGATGACAGCAGGTGAGCGGCTCCATACGCCGCCTGTTTGCCCTCCTTCCATCAGGTGATTGATCGATCTGACTGATGAGCCAGGATGATCGTTCTCCTGCCGTGAGATGGCTTCAAACCGCCGTCTGATTAACCAGCAAAATGGAGGACGGCCAATCCCTGCTCTCCTCTCCAGTAGCAGTAAAAGGCCTCTTATAGATTTTTCCGGAGCATCGTTACTCTTCAATCACTGAACTACTTCATCAAGAGGCATCAATCAGCGCGCAGCAGAGCGGCCGGTAATTACAGGGGCTGCTTCCAGTCGCTGATTTCTCCTGGGGAGGTGGCGGTGGCGGTGGAGTCGTCAGCGCTACGGTCACCAACCCTGCTTAGTGACGGTTTGATCCCTTCCTGAAGCGAGGAGAGGCGGCACTCTTTATCCAACATCATGAGCCAGGTGACACTTTCAGCAAGATCAGGAAAAAACTGAACTAAGGTTAAAAAAAAGAGGTAAAACTGCAGGTCGCAGGTCAAATCTTCTTTAAGGCCTCCTCTGCACAGTGAAGGTGGTGGGAGGGGCCATTAAAGCAAACTACCTCGGACCAAAACTTCTGCATGTTGACTTGACTCCTTTCTAAGTGACCACGTGTTTGAAAATGAAGAAAAAGCAGCAGAACAACAGAAGCTCTCTCAGAAATGAGTCTGCACTTTAAAAAAACTGAAATATTTGTTTTTTCTTTATCCAAATTCAGCGTTAGCGCTTGGTTAAACATTTTTACTTCCTGTTTCCATTTAGACCTCTACTTCATCATCTATTTGAAGTAGCCTACTCTTCAAAATAAAAGCGGGTTAGGGTTTGGATCCAGATCATCAAATGAACAGCTCCTCTGTCCAAACGTCAGCATATGGCGTCAAAAAATGTACATAATAAATGTTGTTGTTTCCAAATAAATAGAAGAATTAAAATAAGTGTTAAAAGTAATCTCATCTGAATTAGCGAGATAATTTATTCAGTTGATCAATAATTGACCAGAGCTCAATTATTACTCCAAATTAAGGTCGAGATAGAAGAGAGGGAACAGTGTTGTAATGGGGTCAGACCCGTCTCTGGAGAGGTCATCATTTCTGTGTGTGTGTGTGTGTGTGTGTGTGTGTTGAAAAAAAACTCTGCAGACTCAGCAGGTCATGTGACAGCAGTGAGTCCCAATCCCAAAGCAGCGGACCAATCAAACGTAGTTTTTTTCAGCTTGGCTCGGTCCTGGAGGAGAAGGGAAACACCCAGAGGAGAGACAATAAAGAAGGAAGCAAGAAACAGGCATCCTGGGTGACAGAGGGGTTTGTGGGTAATGAGGGTCGTGTATATTAAACCATCAGCTGTGATGAGTCTAAGAAGTGGTACGGATTTGGGCCTTAAAAAACGAGGACACTTCCAGGATTTTATCCCATCAGCAGATTTCTATTCTGTCTCTTTTTATTTACAATTCATAATGTCCTGTTGATGAAGTTAGGTGCTGTTCTGAGCATTGTTTGTGGCTATAGAGTGGCGTTTTGGTTGAGGTTTGTTTATGGCTCCTCAGACCTCTCTGTATTGCTATCCTGCGGTCGTCAACACTCATCTCTGGAGGGGGGGTCTAACTCTGTGTTACAGTGTGTTTGACCCTAAATTCATTTTATGCCAGAATATCCCCTCAAGTGTCCTGAAAAGTGCCTATAAATAAAATGTATAATTATTATTATTATGATTATGAAAGACAGACTGTAAATATTAAGAGACGAGAGTCAGGAGAACAAACTAAAGGGTCAGAGTCGGACCTGATTACGTGACAAACTTAGCCAAACAGTCATTCCACACTCGTCCTTTTTTCTCCAGTTTTTACTCTTTTACTGGATTAATCTTATTATTATTCCGCTGTATGTATGGCATACACAGTAGAGCTGTGACTGGATGTGGTTTGTGTCAGAGAAAAAAAAATAACAGCTGGAAGCTGGGGTCACTAATTTCCCCCAGAATTGGCAAAAAGAGATGTTATTACTCTGTCCATTTGCTCCAAACCTGGGAAGCATTCATACCGCATTATGAGCACAGGTGTTGGGGGAATTCATAACCATTTCATTTCCACATGTTGGCATAAAACCACTCACACACACACACACACACACACACTGGGAGGGAGTCAGATGGTGACAGTAATGAAGGCCCGGGGCTGCAGTGCAGGTGATGTGGCGTCACATCCAGCCCGAGAAACATGCATCGGATTAGATTCAGCCCAACAGAGTCTCCTCCACTTCAACCAGCCACTTATTCCTGTTTCATAAGACGAGCAGAGAGGATGACACTTCAGAGAGCGTGAGCATCTCCACTTCTTTTTCTTCTCTGTCTCACTTCACACACAAAGAAACCAGAGGAGGAGAGAGGAGAGAAGAGGAGGAGGAGGAGGAGGAGGAGGAGAGAGCGTCGTCTTCTAACTTATTCTGATGGCGTATCTTCTCCCCATCAGTCACGGATGGTTGCTAATCCTCTGCTATGCTTCTGCAGGAAAAAAGAAAAAGAGGAGCAGAGAGAGAGAGATAGAGGGAGGAGGGGGCGTCAAAAAGATGTGACAGAGTGGATTTGCATTTGGGGGGAAAGTTAAAAACGAGAGATGAATCCTGGATGGGAGACGCCATTATCAGCTCGCAGGTTCGAGAGAAAGAGCGGTGGAGGGAGGGATGTACCTGCCGCTCTCAGGCCGCGTTAGGCTCAAAAGGTGAACCGTCATCAGGGCCCATTAGAGGAGGGGGAGCGGCGCTTTTTTACCTTTCTTTTCATTCTTAGAGATGACAGAGCGAGGCAGGGCTGCGCTCAGATCACAGTCTGACAGGAGGTTATGATACGACTCTGACGACCATCAGAAAGAGTCGGCCAAGGCAGCGCCGCCTTAGAGAGACGCGGGTCGTGTTTAGTTTTAAAATTCAACCCTCAGAGCTCGAGTGGCCGTCCGCCTGACAGTCTGATTGTCTTTTGGGATAATGACTTCCAGGCCGCCGCTTAACAGCCTCCATCACTGCCTCCGATGCTGCCGCCACAGTCAGAGGAAATACTAATTTAGTGCCACACGGCCGAGATTCACGCCACGGCTATCAGGGCAGGGGTGAGAACTCAACAACACAGTTTATCAGTTATCCAAAAAGATTTAATTTAAATCGCTTTAAGTACAAAAAAAAATGGTTATGTGATCAGTTAACTTTTTATATAGGGCCAAATCATACGCTTTTTCATATGATCTAGACCACGCTTATTGTTTGATGTGTTACAAAGACCCAACCTGAAGACGGGACAGATTTACAGTGAAGAAGAAGAAATTCCTTTAACAGACAGTTACCTCGAACAGGACCAGACTCACGTCTCATTTTTTAGGTTTTAAAACTTCAGTCCTGTTTCAGCTTTTATCTCAAACTGTATTAGGCTTAAATCTTTGTTTTTAGGGACTTTTCTCTCCTAATAAATAATGACTGTAATATTATAATAAAATGACTTTCACGTAGTAATTCATGTCTACTTCAGTCATGCAGTAAATGACTTTATCTTGGTTTTATGACCTTTAAGTCATCATTTCATATCTAATCCTGTTACATAATGACATAAAACTCAAAATGCGTTTTCACTTAAGTCTTGTCATACAACGACTTATGACTCCTAATATATAATGACTTAAAACATGTTAAATCATGACTTTTTACCTCTAACTGAAAAAATGCCTTTAAAATTGTTTAAGAAATGCTTTTATCTTTATATATTAAATGACTTTTCACTTGTAGTATAATGACTTACCCACAAGATAAACACTAACTTTAATTTGACTTTTTTCTCTAAAAGAAAACAACATTCAACTTGTTTTATGATGACATTTATCTGGTGATACACACTTAACTTTAATCTTGTTATCTAATGACTGTTATGTCACAAGATCAAACTTAAAACTTGTCATATTTTGACTTTAACCCATTACATTTATGACTCTAAGCTTGTGACATAATGACTTTTATCTTGTCCTATAATGACAATTGATAATGAATTAAATTTTGTAATAATCTATAGATTTTTATTCTCAGTATCTTTTTTTACCTGAATGTTGCCCCAATACCTGTTGGCAGATAAAGATAGAAAATAAATGTTTTTTTTAACATGATCACGTCGTCTAAATAATAATTTTATTCACCATCAAGCACAAAAATGATCATCAATATATTAATCTGTATTTTATTTATTTTCAAAGAGCACCTGGGAAACACTTTGGACATTGTGTTGCTTTTGACGCCCCCTGTGGACACATTTGGTATGAGTTATGTCTTACAGATTTAGATATCAGTGAAATTGTTTTTTTTATTACTTTAGTGTTTTAAGTTGTGAAGTCAAAGGACTCGTGTTTCAATATTTAATCAGTTTATTACATTTTTAATCACATTTAAAATTCCACCATTTTGCATTTCTTAATAGTTTCATATCGATACTGATGGCATTTTGAAGAACAGGCAAAAATACAAGAGTATCCCAATATTGACCATGCTCATGGAGTCAGATTAGTCCTGGTCTGAGCTCTGATCCCAAGTCTGTTCCGTATATGTTGGTTACACCCATCCTGTTGAGAAGACGTTTCGCCTCTTATCCAAGAAGCCCTTAGTTCTAAATATTGCTATTGTGAGGAGCAGATATTTACCTTACTGGAGAAGGGGACAGACAATGACTGGGAGAAGTTGGAAAGAATGGGTCGTAGAAACCCATCTCAGGCTAGGATATATACACTAGGATAACTCTGCTAAAATGTCTCGGATATTTTAATACAGTTATAATTTAAAATAAAGGACACAAATTCAAACTAAAATAGAGATAGGTAAGTTCCTAATGTAATACATCAAGATAAACTAGTTATTCCTCTATATCAGATTAAGCTTCACTGTACAAAACTAGCTTTCAAAAAAATGCCGTAGGCTAAGACACAAACTGACAAAAGCATCTCAGCTGCTTTAAAACCTTTTAACTTCTTAACAATCAATATAATTTATTTATATACATGTAGTTTATTTGATCATTCTTCTTTTCTCTTCTTTAAAGATGCTGCTGGAATTTTAACCTGCTCTGACATTCTCTTATTGATTAGTTATCAGTGTATTGTGAACACTTATGATGTCCCCATAATGCACTTTGAGTCAGTTTCTCACTATGGTTAGAAGAGCAGATTCAGACACATCTGGTCCCCACAAGGCACATTGATCTAGTGTGTGAAGTGTCCCCATGAAGCCTGTTGTGTTCAATAGTGAAATCCTGTGTTTTATTAAATATAAGCATCAAGGCACCTTAATCTGTAATTTATCTGCATTTTTTTCATATTCATCTTTGTTTTGAGACTTTAATCTCCTAATAAATAATGACTGTAATATTATAATAAAATGACTTTCATGTAGTAATTCATGTCTACTTCAATCATGCAGTAAATGACTTTATCTTGGTTTTATGACCTTTAAGTCATCATTTCATATCTAATCCTGTTACATAATGACATAAAACTCAAAATGCGTTTTCACTTAAGTCGTCATACAACGACTTATGACTCCCATTAATAATGACTTAAAACGTGTTAAATCATGACTTTTAACCTCTAACTGAAAAATTGCCTTTAAAATTGTTATAGAAATGCTTTTATCTTTATATATTAAATGACTTTTCACTTGTAATATAATGACTTACCCACAAGATAAACATTAACTTTCATTTGACTTCTTTCTCTAAGAGAAAACAACATTCAACTTGTTTTATGATGACATTTATCTGGCGATACACACTTAACTTTAATCTTGTTATCTAATGACTGTTATGTCACAAGATCAAACTTAAAACTTGTCATATTTTGACTTTAACCCATTACATTTATGACTCCAAGCTTGTGACATAATGACTTTTATCTTGTCCTATAATGAAAATTGATAATGAATTAAATTTTGTAATAATCTATAGATTTTTATTCTCAGTATCTTTTTTTACCTGAATGTTGCCCCAATACCTGTTGGCAGATAAAGATAGAAAATAAATGGGATTTTTTGGGGTTTTTTTTAGCATGATCACGTCTAAATAATAATTTTATTCACCATCAAGCACCAAAATGATAATCAATATATTAATTTGTATTTGATTTATTTTCAAAGAGCACCTGGGAAACACTTTGGACATTGTGTTGCTTTTGACACCCCCTGTGGACACTTTTGGTACGAGTTATGTCTTATAGATTTAGATATCAGTGAAATTGTTTTTTTTATTACTTTAGTGTTTTAAGTTGTGAGGTCAAAGGACTCATGTTTCAATATTATTATTTAATCAGTTTATTACATTTTTTGATCACATTTTAAATTCCATCATTTTGCATTTCTTAATAGTTTTATATCTATTTTAATGACAGTTCGAAGAACAGGCAAAAATACAGGAGTATCTCAAGAAAGAAGATGGTACACAAAAGCTCATCTTCACGAGAAATACGACAAGAAATCTTCAACTTCTTGTTTCTGCAATGTTCTCCTTACAATAAAATATACTTCACATTGCATTTATCACCCATAGCAAACACTCAAATAATACAGACTGTTATTGTGTCTTCTTTTGAACAGAAATGTCTAATTAGACAAAATAAATTAGACAGTTCTATGACAAGTCCAGAATGGCGTCTTGTTTTGAGATATTTCAATCCTAAAAGATGAGTTACTTGTATTAATAAAAAATGTAAAACTTCTAACGGATTAGTAAAAAACCACCTGCTAGGATTTGAGATTTTTTTTTTTTTAAAGTGTAACACGCCTCTCAGCACAACCACACATTAATGTATTTTACAGGGATTATCTACAAAATACAATTCTGACAAAAAGTCCTGCAAAATGTGATCTATTTTAATCTAATCTAATCAATAAAGCACATGAGAACCAGCAACTCTGTACAATAGAACAACTTAAAACAAGAAATAATCCCAAATATTCAGTTGAGTCACTCTGAAAAGCTGCACAGTCTAAATCTCTTCACACGTTCTTGCTTTTAGTTAAATCACAATAATGAAATCCCCCACCACCACGGGTTAAAGGTTAGTACTCAGTTCTTGAAGTCAAACTTAAATGAAGTTCTTTAAACTTTGACTGGAGTAGATTCTCAGACTAGTGGTTTGACTTGTACTTGAGTCAAATGTCAGTAAAGTAAGTCGACTTTGACTTGAGTAGAAATTTTTTTAGTCTCTTTCCACCCCTGCATGTCACTCGTCTCTGATCTGAATAAACTCAGGTTTTTATTTCAGTTCAATAAACTCAGCAGAGCTGAAAAACAGGTAAAGTGCAGCATGTAGCGGTTCAGTGAATGTGGTCCGGACTCTGTGGAGGAGAGTCATGGTTTCAGAGACGCTGTAGAAGGACAGAATACCTGCACTGTGATCCAGGTACACTCCTACTCTGGAGGACGGAGGACCTGAGACAGGAGTGATGACTTTGTTGTGCACAAATTTAGAACCACCTTTATAAAAGTCTAAGATCCAAGATTTGTTATTGAATCCAAATCTACAATTCCATGAGCCCCCTTCTCTGCCGATAGTCTTGTATGCGACTGCTACACTAACCACATTCCCGCTCCGCTCAACCTCCCAGTAACAACGTCCAGTCAGACTCTCTCTACTCAGGACCTGAAGATAATAAGTAAATCTGTCTGGATGTTCAGGATAAGACTGTTGTTTTCCTGTAGATGTTGCTCTTCTGTTTCCATCAGATAATAACAGCTCTCTGTGTACTGTATTTGGATCCAGTGTGATTTTTTGTGAATATTTTAAGAAATCAGCTCTGGTCTTGGGTTCTGGTTCTGGTGGTTCTGGTAGTTCACTGCCTGATAGTTCAGGCAGTGAAACATCCACATCAGTCACTGCCTGTGAGACGTTTGTCCACGTCTCTGTCAGAAGATCCTGGAGTTTCTCTCTGAGCTCTGACACAGCTGCTGTCACCTCCTCAAAGTATCTCTGAGGACGGATGTTGATTCTGGATGAGTCTGCAGGTTGACCCGGTTCTGACAGTGAGGGGTAGCTATGCAGAAACTGGTTGTGGTCCTCTGTGAGTGAGAGCTTCTGCAGATCAGCGTCTTTCCTCTTCAGCTCAGTGATCTCCTGCTCCAGCTTCTTCTGAAGCTCTTTGACTCGACTCACTTCACGTTTCTGCTGGGATCTGACCTGCTGCTTCACGTCAGAGCGGCGTTTCTTCATGAGACAGATCAGCTGGCTGAAGATCTCCTGGCTGTGCTTCACTACTTTCTTAGCAGAGCTGTTGATAGCCTCCACCTCCTGTTGGAGCAGCTTCACATCTTCTTCTCTGTCCTGGATTCTCTGCTGGATGTTTTGTCGACTCTCCTTCAGACCTTTCTGCCTCTCGGTCCTTTCTGCTGCAGCTGAGACTGTGTCGTGACCTTTGTGTTGGTCCACAGAGCAGAGGTGACAGATAGACTGTTGATCAGTGCGGCAGAAGATCTTCATCACCTCACCATGACAAGAGCAGATGTTCTCCTGGAGATTCTTGGAGGGCTCCACCAGCTTGTGTTTCTTAAATGTAGGAGATTCAAAATGAGGCTGGAGGTGAATCTGACAGTAAGAAGCAAGACATTGAAGACAGGACTTGACAGCTTTCTGTTTTCTCCCACTGCAGGAATCACAGGCCACATCTTCAGGTCCAGCCTCAGAGGGATCATCAGAAGCAGCTTTGAGTCTGCTCTTCTTCACTTCCTCCACTAAACCTGCTAACAAGGTGCTTTTCTTCAGGATAGGCCTCCGTCTGAAGGTCCGTCTGCACTGAGGACAGCTGTAGATCTTCTTCTCATCCTCAGTATCCCAGTGGGTTTGAATACAGCTCATGCAGAAGCTGTGTCCACAGGAAACAGTCACCGGATCCTTCAGTAGATCCAAACAGATGGAACAAGAGAAAGATTCACAGTCCACCTGAACTCCTTTCTGCGCCATTTCAACACTCACTGTCGATGACTGACTGACTGAGTTTAAGTTCCCGGTCTGAGCTTTTATCTCGAGTCAGCTCAGTATACGTTGGTTACACCCATCCTCTGACTGTAGATCTGACAGAGCTGGGAGGGGTTATCAAGTTTTTCTACATTCCAGGAAGAGGAGCAGTCATGGGAACTTTGAATGTTGTTCCTCTCTTTGGCAAGTTAGAACCTGATCATCAGATCTTAAAGCTGTGAATTACTCCTTAAAAACCCTTCCTTAGTTAATCAGTTAATCCTTAAAAACTCTTCCTTGTGTGTGTGTGTGTGTGTGTGTGTGTGTGTGTGTGAGAGAGAGAGAGCAAGGATGGGAGGGGCTAAATAAGCAGAGTGTTAACCTTGGAGTGTCACCTCTCAGTAAAACAAATTTGCTTTAGTTAAAACAAAAGTTAGTCATAATCATATTAAAATGAATAAATAGTCAGTTGTCATGAGCTAATAATTAATGTTTATTTGTCTTTGACCAACCCGATGACCACAGGCACCACTGTTGCGTTCACCTTCCAGGCTTTCTCTGTCTCCTCTTTGAGCCCTTGGTATTTCTCTAGTTCCTCGTGTTCCATCTTCCTGATGTTGGTATCGCTTGAGATGGCGACATCTACCACAATGGCTTTACTCTGCTGTTTGTGTACGATTACAATGTCTGGTTGGTTGGCCATTACCATTTTGTCGGTCTGTATCTGAAAGTCCCACAGGATCTTGGCTCGGTCGTTTTCCATCACCGTGGAAACCCCATTTTGACCTTGGGGTTTCCAGTTCATAGTCTGCACAGCTGTTCCTGTACATTATACCGGCTACTTGGTTATGGCGTTCTATGTATGCTTTTCCTGCCAGCATCTTACATCCTTGTTAGGTATGGGACTGTTTCTGGGCCATCTTTTCACAGCCTGCACCTGGGATCTTGCCCGTTATGGTAGATCTGGACCTCTATTGCTCTGGTGCTCAAGGCCTGTTCTTGTGCCGCCATGATTAGTGCTTGTCCTTCAGTCCAGCCATTGGTAGGATTTGCTCATATCAGCCACTTCAGCTATCTGTCGGTGGTACAACCCATGCAGGGGTTTTTCCTCCCATGATGGTTCCACCTGTTCCTCCTTCCTTGTCAGTTTCCATTGTCTGAGACACTCACTAAGTGCTCCATCTCTGTGGGCCATCTTCCTGACATAGTCATGGAGCTTGGATGTTTCATCTTGGATAGTGGCTCTGATGCTCACACACCCTCTGCTGCCTTCTTTGTGCTTAGTGTATAGCCTCTGGATACTGGACTTGGGGTGGAACCCCCCGTGCATGGTGAGCAACTACTGAGTTTTAACATCTGTGGCCTGAATTTCCTCCTTTGGCCAGCTTATTATTCGAGCTTGGTATCTGACCACTGGCAGGGCATAGCTGTTAACTGTCCAAACTTTGTTTCTGCCATTGAGCTAACTCTTTAGGACCTGCCTTATTCCCTTCAGGTATGTGGCCATTGCTGCTTTCCTTGTGGCCTCTTCGTGGTTTCCATTTGCATGTGGTATGCCAAGGTATTTGTAGTTCTCCTCCACATCCGCTATTCTGCCCTCTGGGAGTGTAGTGCCCTCTGTATGGACTATCTTCACTCTTTCCATCACCATTCGGCCACACTTCTCCAGTCCTGGTTGTGTGGATGAGTGAGTCGATTTCTTGCTCGCTCTTGGTGTACAGCTTGATGTCGTCCATGTAAAAGAGGTGGCTGATGGTGATCCCATTTCGGAGGTGGTATCGATAGCTGTATATATATATATGTATATTTCCACACTGTCTGTTTTTCTGACTGGCTGTCTGGTGTAGTAACTTTTTTTTCTGGTCATACTGAGAGCAGAGGAGCTTCAACCCAGCCTCAGTCGCAGTGTTTCCTTATGGCGTCCTGGCCTGTTTTCCCTCCTGATGACGACCATCTCTGGTAAAAATGTCCTCGGCCATGCTCACTGAGAGGCGAAATAACAAAAGCAGAATGAACTCTCGTTTTTTTCCCCCCTTCTCCTCACCCCCCACCCACCTTCATTTAATCCCCGGACATGAGCGAGGCTCATTTTAGTGGCACAGGACAGCAATTAAAGCTCCTTCTGTCTCCTGTGTGGCAGTGAGACGAATGGATTTCCGTACAGTTCATGAATTCATAGATGATGAAATTGCCGATAATTGCTGCGGCTCGAGCCGATGTGGAAAAATTCTTCTCCATCATCAGCTCAGACACAATGTTCCTCTTTCTGCCTCTCAAGTAAAAACCGCTGCAGATTGTTTCCTAACGAGGCCGAGCGAGCGCAGAGAGCGAGAGAGGGAGAGAGACAAGACATCTGCGTCTGTCTGATGTTCTCCTCTGCTTTGGTTGCCATAGCGACCGCGATAGACCCCACTTCCTCTTGACCACCGAGCCACTTAAAGCACCTCCGTCATTATCCCAAGGTGCTTTTCAATGAGGAGGGAATAGTGGAGGTATGGTGGCTGACTGTCTCGCTCTTATTTCTTCTGCATGTGGCTGCTGTGCGGGGTTCATTCAGAGACCCCGTCAGAATGAATGGAAGTCAATGAGGCCCAATCTGAGGCTGTGAATATCAAGGAGGGCCACAATACCACAGCCATCCGTATGACTTCAGAGGTTCAAAAGCAGCTCACGTGTTACACACCTGTCTTTGTTGAACTGATGCGCAGTAACAGCCAGGTTTTAGCCGTGCATGTTGATACACAACCGTCATCTTAAGAGGGCGGCAGAAATAATTATACAAAAGATGTGCTGAAGGAAGCATGAGTCAGGAAGGTGAGGGAGAGGCTGCCAGACTGACACAATGCTCATAAACCAACCAGGTTTTTCTTTCTCTGCACATGATGTGGACTTCCAAGCAGGGTTAAATCACAAGTTATCTTATATATTGATGCTTTTGTTCAAGAGGTCTTTCTCGGTCCTAGATGACTTTTATTCACTAATTCATGTATGTGTTGGTTTGTTGATTTTTATTTCGCTGCTCCTCGTCGTTTTATCACTTTTGATTCTTCCTCTTCTCTTTTGTTCTTGAATGATTTTAGTCTTGTATTTGTTGCTCTTTTTTTGCTGTACTTTAATAATAATAATAATAAATTAAATTAAATCGTACACACTCATGTCTCTCACCAAATGTTAGAGTATTGTAAAGGTGTCTCTTGAAAAACTGGTTTTACATCTCAGTAGGACTTCCTGTTTGTGGAAAACTTTTGTCTTCAGAGGCGCTTTATAAAGACAGTTATATATTACAATTAAAAGTACATTTTCATTATAAAATCTGCAGTTTGAGTTTTTAACCCACTGATAGTTTGTGTAAATGGCAAATGCTAGTCAGATTTGTGTGGTTTCTTTTTACAGCTGAGATCTAAACGGAGGTCTAACTGCCTCCAGAGCTCTGTAGGGTCTGAGACAGGTCCCTCTCAGGATTCCCAGTCTCTGCAAAACCTGCGACTAAAGACGCTGTGAATGTTTCACACCGTCTCTAGAATGTAATCCAGTGATTTAGCCCAGATCTAAAATCTGCCTAATTTCACGCTGATGGGTGCCCAGCCCTGATTTCAGCCGCCATCTCTCTGCAGGTACTTGAACCATTAAAACTATCTTTCTGTCTCACTTGAGCTTTAGTCTGTGTGGGTTTTAGGAGGAAACTTGGAGCTTATCAACGATCAGTCCAGATTTAAAGTTCACAGTGTGAGAATTCACACCATGCTCATGCATCAGTATGTACAGAGTGAGTGCGTAAAGTAAGCTCTGTGTTATTTGTCCACCTCTGAAAATTGGGGGAATCTATTTACTGTATCCGTTTCAGTCCACACAGTTTCACACCGTCAGACTTTAACTAGCAGAGTCAGAATCAATAATTCATTCTCTTCTCCCACAGTTTCACAATGTTTCATTAATATTTTATCACTTTCATATAACGACACACACTTTATCATGATTTTATTTGTATTCCTCGTCTTCATCACACTTTTTTTTCTCCTCACTGTTTGCTCTGTAATCTCTACTCCCCCTCACTGCTGCTGTTAACAAACCTATTTCCCCTGTGGCTTCAATAAAAACTAAACTGCCGGGAACAGGTAGATTTTCATATTCTGCTGAACAAACTTATCAGGATTTACATCTGAAATACATTTTCAGAGCTGCCGGGGCCAATCGACAAACAGATCATGCCTCAAAGTTAAAGAGGAATCTTAAGTGGCTTCACGGAGAGACAGTGGAAGGGAAAAGTTACATGGTACAGCGAAAACTGTCATCCACCGATGTCTCAATGCAAAGTCAGCTGGATTAAAAATGTCTTTCTGAGCGACCCGAGTGGGTGTGCACTTATCTTGATTTGCAATCAGACTCTAACTCTTAAAAAAAGGAAAATAAACGTCAGGATAGTTTCCAGAAGGATGCTGCAGAGTGTCTTTGGAGGAATATCACAAAAAAGTTCAGCGACTGACATTTACGGAAGTAGCAGAGGAGGAAAATGACTGAGCCCAAATATATGAATAGAGGCTTTAGTCGGACCCGAGTAGAACTCAAGTCTTTAGGATTCATGCAGTGCAGACTCGGACTTGAGTACTGGCTGCTCTATGTAGGTTTGATGGCTGTTTGGAGGATAGACTGCACATGTGTTCATCTGCATAGTTGTTTATGTGTCGTCTTGTTCTGCTGCCGGGAGAAAAGACACCCAAAATTGTGCAACCTTTAAAATTTGTAAGCCCCATGATTACAGACAACATGTTGTAGATGTGTAGAAACTGTGTCAGATGTAAGTGGGTACACAGACTAATGAGTATTGGTTTATATCTATATATACACTCACTGGCCACTTTATTAAGTACACCTGTCCAACTGCTCGTTAACACTTAATTTCTAATCAGCCAATCACATGGTGGCAACTTAGCGCATTTAGGCATGTAGACATGGTCAAGACAATCTCCTGCAGTTCAAACCGAGCATCAGTATGGGGAAGAAAGGTGATTTGAGTGACTTTGAACGTGGCATGGTTGTTGGTGCCAGAAGGGCTGGTCTGAGTATTTCAGAAACTGCTGATCTACTGGGATTTTCACGCACAACCATCTCTAGGGTTTACAGAGAATGGTCCGAAAAAGAAAAAATATCCAGTGAGCGGCAGTTCTGTGGGCGGAAATGCCTTGTTGATGCCAGAGGTCAGAGGAGAATGGCCAGACTGGTTCGAGCTGATAGAAAGGCAACAGTGACTCAAATAACCACCCGTTACAACCAAGGTAGGCAGAAGAGCATCTCTGAACGCACAGTACGTCGAACTTTGAGGCAGATGGGCTACAGCAGCAGAAGACCACGCCGGGTGCCACTCCTTTCAGCTAAGAACAGGAAACTGAGGCTACAATTTGCACAAGCTCATCGAAATTGGACAATAGAAGATTGGAAAAATGTTGCCTGGTCTGATGAGTCTCGATTTCTGCTGCGACATTCGGATGGTAGGGTCAGAATTTGGCGTCAACAACATGAAAGCATGGATCCATCCTGCCTTGTATCAACGGTTCAGGCTGGTGGTGGTGGTGTCATGGTGTGGGGAATATTTTCTTGGCACTCTTTGGGCCCCTTGGTACCAATCGAGCATCGTTGCAACGCCAAAGCCTACCTGAGTACTGTTGCTGACCATGTCCATCCCTTTATGACCACAATGTACCCAACTTCTGATGGCTACTTTCAGCAGGATAATGCGCCATTTCATAAAGCTGGAATCATCTCAGACTGGTTTCTTGAACATGACAATGAGTTCACTGTACTCAAATGGCCTCCACAGTCACCAGATCTCAAGCCAATAGAGCATCTTTGGGATGTGGTGGAACGGGAGATTCACATCATGGATGTGCAGCCGACAAATCTGCGGCAACTGTGTGATGCCATCATGTCAATATGAACCAAGCTCTCTGAGGAATGCTTCCAGCATCTTGTTGAATCTATGCCACGAATAATTGAGGCAGTTCTGAAGGCAAAAGGGGGTCCAACCCGTTACTAGCATGGTGTATCTAATAAAGTGGCCGGTGATATATATATATATATATTGGTATCATATCTATAATATCTATTTGATGATTAACACAATAACATTTGGTGATGGACTAGTAATCAGAAGACTATGGTTCCCTCAAGGAGAGAGTTGGATAAGAGACTGGACAGGAGGCGGAAACTGTTTTTGAATGATGTGGTATATTATTTACAGAAAAAGTGCAGATATGTACTGTGAAGATGTGGCCATTAAAGTTTTCAGGGGAAATGGGAGTGAATTGAGGGGTGATGATTGAATGAATGGGTGTACGAGTTTCAGTGGGCTCCAGTGAGCTCCCTACCGGCCTGGGAGGAGAGGTGCATATGAGACTGGGGGTCGATGAAGGCTGTAGGCCTGCTCCTTAGCTCGCCATCTATTGTGGACCTGACCTGAGGATCAGAAACACAGTTAAAATTAATCACTATTCAAACATATACATGTACATGTACACATAATACATTTAAAGCACTAGTCTAGTTGAGCTATAGTTCATTTACATAAATTCAATATTTATTATTAAAGAAGTAAATACTACTTACATTATCACTGAACAGCATGAATAATGTCATTTAGCATGTTTAATTGATATTTACACAGATATATAATAATCAAATACATTAAAGTTGTGAGTTTTTACACAACCTGACTTTATTCAGTAGGTTCACAGTTGACAATATAAACATCCAATAATACAGATGATAACAGAAACATATTTCCATCTGAATGTAATTACAGATATTCTTCTTTCATTTGTAGAAACAGCAGATTTGTGACCAAACAGTTTAGCTAACCGCTTACATTGAGATGAATGAGCTCGGCTAAGCTAACGCTAGCACGCTAACAATAACAAACTCACTCGTCCTCGGTTGATCGACACACAACACGTTCTTCACACCGTTAAAGGCATGGTAGAAGGCTCCAACAATTCGGTGTATAAAAGCATTAAAAGACGTTTGTTGTTAAAGTAAAAAACGTCGTGATTTAGCTTAAGCTAACCTGTAGATCGTCGCTAACGCCGCCTCCTCGCGCCAACACATGTGACCGCATGACGTCACCAAAACACTCAACTATGACTGGTCGACACGGTACCGCGAGATCGTGCAAGATATCGCGAGATGTTGCAAGTTCCCGCGAGATAGGATGGTATTTACCGCGAGAGACAACTGTTAGCTAACAGCGGGACTGGCTGCTCAGGATGTACCTGGTTTACAGGTAGGGCTGTCAACTAAGTTTAACTAAGCTTAGAGAGAGATTTTTGTGATTGAAGATAATGAATTAGTGTAATAATCTTATAAATACAACGGAGTATATGGGCCACATTAAGAAAAAAAATTATGAGATTAAAGTTATTAGTTAATGAGAATAAAGTCCTAAAGTGACTTGTTGTGGAGGAGATTTGTTAAAATGAGGGCTGTGGAGCATTTAGATGAAATGTACTTCGGTATGTTTCACAAACATGGAGATACTTACTCCTTCGGTACATCAGAATTACACTGTCATGAGTATCAGAACTTAAAAAAAAGAATATATGAGTAATGCTTTTTCACAGAAAAAGTACAGGTGGACTTTGGCTTCATTTTGGCGAGTGTCCGTCTTCTTTTGTAGGATATCAAAATCTACCCGAATACAGCAATGCTACTTTTTGATTGGCTGTTCGGTAGATAAGCCTTATTTGATTGGCTTGTGTGTGGCACACAGCTTCTGAACTCTCGGGGGAACTGACTTGATTCCTACCTGTTCCGTTGTTAAAGAGGTGCAACTTGGTGGATGTTAGTGTTGTAGTCAAGACCGCACCAACTGAGACCAAGACATTATCGAGACCAGAGAGGACCGAGACCAAGACAAGACCGAGTGAAAATGACCCAAGACCCTCAAAAAAAGGTCTCGAGACCAAGACTGATCTTGAGTACTACAACACTAGTGGACATCACCATGTTAATTTAAATGAGAAATACAATGTGTGGCGTGTGAACAGGCGGGTGTGCATGTGTCACACGCCAAATGCGTGAGACTTGAGAGCCCTATGCAAGAGTACCATCTAGGACGAGGAGGAGCTTGAACTATCAGAGAGAAAAGTCATATGTTAAAGTCTACAGGACTGCTGATTGTGTTAAAGTGAGCACGCCTTAAAGAGACTCAACCACTGAGTGCAAGAAAAAACACAATTTTAGGTTATTTTTATTGTGGTAAAAAAAACACAAAAACCTAAAGATCTAAAAACTTTATAAGTTACAGTAGATGTGTCCTCTTAGGTTCAAGTGTCTCTCATGTTTAGTCTCCTCAGCTCCACATTGTTTTATTAACATTGATTAGATTGATTTATTTATGATGTAGTTTTATCGATGAGGCTGAAAACGGGTCAGGAGCGGTTTTTTTTTTAAGTTTAAATTTAGCCTGAATCTAATCCTGGACCTTAAAAACACTCACCCTGAGACAAAGAGTGAGCTGCAGATGAAATGTCTCTGTCTCCTGAAGTCTAATTGGTCCTCACACACACACACACACACACACACACACACTCCTGCCTGACCCCGGCACTCTCTTGTTTCCTATTAGATTTAATTGACTCTCTCTTCCTTTATGTGTCACCCCCCCTCCTCCACTGTCAGCTTCTGACTTCTGGTCGCCATGGTGACGTCTTCAGCGGCGTCCGGCCGGAGTTGTCTGAGGAAGTTGGTAGTTTAGCGAGGTGGAGAGAAGGTGACTCGTCAGGCTGGGCGGCTCGTCGTGTCCGGCGGCTGTCAGGACGCCTGACCTCCTCCTGCTCTGGACATGACAGAGCGGACTGCTGAGTGTCAGCTTAACCGCTCCGCCTGTCATGTCTGTCACGCCCGGTGATACGAGAAGTCATGTTTCCTGAGTGGACTAGGAGCAGTTGAGGTATTATTTATTATTTTATCTGTAGCAGGGAATGAAGTGAAGGACATCCTATTTCATCCCTGATTCAACTTTTTCTCCTCCGTACGGCGACACAGACCTCAGAGCGGCTCGCTGTCACCGCCGTCAACACTTCCTGGCAGGTTTCTCTGCAGCTCCTAAAGTTTTTATGGGCTGGAGATGAGTTTTGACAGGAAGCAACAACCATAAAAGCACTTTCTGTCTTTATTATTTATGTTTCTTCGAACGGTGATCTTTTGTAATCAGAAAACTCTCACAGGACCAGCGCTGTCACCGCTAATGAGCCCCCCACTGGAAATACATAAATCCTGCACCCTTCATTCTTCTGTTTATTCATCGCTCAGACGGTGGAAAATTACGGTCCGGAGCCTCTGGGAGACCAGGAACCAAGCACGGGATATCTAATAAGTGCATCAAAACTGAACACAGACATTCCCAACTCTTCAACTATTCATTGACCCGCCAGGGAGCCCAGGGCGATACCGAGCTTTTAGCTAGGCAGTTATCTCCTAACGCTGTGCATTGCATACTGCATGTTTCTACATCAGGTGGAAAGCATTTTGCATAACATACATGCACTGAATGTTTGAATTTACCCCAGAGATGCAGAAATCGACTGAAACCTCTCGCCTCTTCAGCAGTAATTCAATCAGACTTTGTAAAAAGTGTTCAGTTTCCTCAGTGACCCTCTGTGAGGACTTCACCAAAGAGGAGGAGCTGCGTTCAAGTGAACATCATTAGAGCCTTCATTAGATGGTTCAACACTTTTTGGACTCTCACAAACTTTAGTTTCAAGTTTTCCAAATTCCTAAAAAGTTTTTGTACTTTGTAAATATTGATTTACTCAGATTCTGATGGTTTGTTGTAATCCCTGTTGTCAGAATGTGGTTTGGGATCATATTAAGGTCTTCCCTGAAAAAGCCTTTGTCTGGATGGCAGCAGATGTCCCTCCTCAACCTGGAGATGTTGTTAAAAAATGCAGAGGATGCAGCATCTATGATTTCCAGTTCTTTGTTGAAAGGACAACTGGACTTACTTGAGATGTTTCGATCAACTAAATCCAGTTGTCCTTTCCAAAAGAGTGTTAGATTTTGATTTATAAGACCTTAAGACAATTCAAGGACAAGTGATATTTAGCCCATGCAGTGACTCCAACAATTTTTTTTGCCATCAGCCAATTCCTACTGGATCTGTTGGTGAGGCGAATTTCGTGGCGAATTTCAAGAACTCACAAGGACCCGCGGATCACATTCAATCATGCAATAACAAGTTGTCTCTCTAAAGACAGACACATAGACATATAAGCAGTAGATTGTGGCTTCCAGAGGAGGAAATCTACTTCTAGACTTCTAGAATCAGCATCTCCTCATCCATGGTGTCATCGGGGTGAAATGACGTCCAAAAACCTTTCACTTGTTCGTCTCCGCCCGTTTGCATGGTGTGAAATACGATTCTCCTGAAACACGGAGTGTTTTATTTTGAAAAGAAGCCGGATGTTTTATTTTGTGTCTGTGCCCGACTTCCTTTCCAGCACGGGTTAATCTGTGCTGAATTTATCCGCCATGCCCCAGCGTCCAGGAAAAATAGAACTCTTGCGATCAGCTGAGGAGTCCGGCGATCCGCAGAGGAACGGAAAGAAGTCGGTGGAAATTGACACGTTAACTTGAATGGTTGCGATCAGCTACGATCGGAGGATACAGTCTTTTGGTAGCTGTTCCGGATGTGGTGGAAATTGGGGGTTACAGTCGTTGGGTTAAAATCTGCGTTTTCAGCTGTCCTGTCGGACAGGACTCAACCCTGAGTTACTACATTAAGAAAAGAAGAACTTTATTTAAATTCAACATGAGGAAAGAAAGAATAAAAACCAAGCAGTAACTCACGTAATGCTAGAGCGCACATCCCTGTTTCATCAATCACATTTATCTGATCATTTCCTGTTTGTGAGTCTCGCTCCAAATCCATGTAATATTGTTCAGCGGGGATACCGCGCAGTGATTTGCATTTCTTCATTTGTTTTCATTTGGAACCGCCAGACTCAGAATTTGTCATTTTCCCAGCAGCACCCCGGAGAAGTACGCCGTATATTTTGGCTCTCAGCGATTCCGAGCAAGTTCTCCTTCCTTTATTATGTTTAATGGAGTTTTAATGATGCTATTGGTGAGGTTGGAGGAGAGCAGAATTAAGTGCACACCTGAGGTGTATTGAGTGCTGGCTTACATAATGTATACCAAGGAGGCTTTAACTTCTTAATGAAGAAACATTCATTCAAACCGGTGCCGTCGTAAAAAGGCTGGCATTAGAAAGTCAATTTTGTCTGCGGTTGTGAAACATTAGCAGGAAAGAGAAGGAGTTAACGTACGCTGAGACACTTTAATGTTTCACCCCTGCAGGGAAAACAAGATCAGCACAAAGGATTTCTTTCTACAAATCATCAAAGCTTCCTCTCAACTATTGAACTGAATCTCCATCCATACAACTCCCTCAGAAGACGGACTCTTTACATCAGGTTTTATTGAAACTACAGCCGTTTCTGTCCTGCAGAGTCACATTAAGAAAATAATGAGCTGAGATACAGTCTGAGGAGGTGTGCTGTATTCCCTGAAGGCAGATGGTTTCTGTCAATTTTTTTTTTCTTTCCTTTCACTTTCAAACGGCCCTAAAGGTTTGATTTACACTCATAAATGACACAGGACATGATCAGTCATCGCAGTACAAACACAAAAACACCATCACTGATTATCTCGGTAAAACGGCTCCTGTCAGGGGGTGGGACATGTGAGGCAACAGGTGAACTGTTGATCCTCAAAGACGATGGATGCAGGAAAACTGGGGAGTGTGAGAATGTAAGTGACCTAATGAGGGTCCGAGCATCTCCAAAACGACTGAAAGTGGTCCAAAGAAGGAAAACTGGGAAACTTCTGCGGCTCGGAACAGTAAACGTTAACCCCAATTTTCACCGCATCCGGAATGGTTACAAAAAGGCCGTATCTGTTGATCGTAGCTGATCGTAACCATTCAAGTTAACGTGTCAATTTCCACCAGCTTCTTTCCTTCTTTCCGTAGTGAGAACAGAAGAGGAAACATAATAAGTGTTGGATTATCATCAAATCAAGACATGTTTGACAGCAGAATCCACGATTTCCAGGACTC